GACGAAGCTCATCAAGAAGCTCACAACCTGTGCTGGGCATGAAGCACCACAAACGCCTCAAACCCTAAACCCTCGCCCTAAACCCTAGCCCTTAAACCCTAAACGCGAATATAGTTTTCTCACCGGCTTACAGATGCAAATCTGCGAACCACTCCTTGAAAACCCGTGTTTAGGCCTTACAGGACTTGCAGGGTTTCGGGTTTAGGGTTCCGAAAATAAGGGACCCCTTATATCGACCCCCCAAATAGTAGGATTCCCTTATAATTGGGACCCCAATAAGGTCTCCCGAATGTCGGACACCTCCCATATGTAATATAGCTCTATAGGGGTCGGAATAATTACTAACAAGATTCCCTTGTGGTCCCCTTGTAACTATACTATAATGACCCCCAAAAACCTATTCTAACTACTCAGGCCCCCATATGGGTGGTTGTCAAAATTATGGTCCCTTTTTGGACCCCCATTATAATATGGCACCTAATACTTAGGTTACCCCAAAAGGGATCATAATTTTGACAGCCTCCCATATGTAGGGGGTTTAGGGTTCGAAGGTTGTGAGCAGCGCCCTCTCAAACGAAAGGAAGAGCCGGGGCGTCGTATCACAAAAATTGACCGGAATGCAAACCATCTCGCAGAGGGAGCTAGGTCCTAGATTTGTGGAGTTTAGGGTTTAGGGTTGAGGATTTAGGGTTGAGGATTTAGGGTTTCGGGTTGAGGATTTAGGGTTTAGGGTTTAGGGTTTAGGGTTTGGGCTTAGGGCTTAAGGCTTAAGGCTCAGGGGACATGCAAGAGCTCTCCAAGCGACGACACGCAGGGCCGCGTTGGATGGGGTGAGCCTGATGGAGTGCAGGTGCAAGGTAGGGTTTGGGGTTTGGGGTTTAGGGTTTAGGGTTTAGGGTTTAAGGTTTAGGGTTTAGGGTTTAGGTGGTAGTGTGCTGACGACTGCTTGGAGGTTCATGGGTGCTTATTCACCAATTATAACTGTTCTTATGACTGTACTTATCAGCCCCCTTAAGTGCCCTAATGTGGTTGTATGTATAGTTATAAGTACAGTTAGAACTGGAAAATAAGTACCATGAACGTCCAAGTAGATGGGCCTGCTTGAAGGTTCACGAGTAGCTATACAGGTAGGGCTCTCAGCACCTGAAATAAGGATAGAACACCGGTTGCCTTACTTGCCGTTTTGCTCCTAAACTGCCCATGATACTTCAAGTATGGAATCTTCACAACACTCACGTCCATGAGCACACCTAGGCCTGCACATGAAGCCATAAGTCGTAACTGGGAGTTTTGCTGGTCCTCCCTTTCAGGAACCATTCTTCCAATGGTACCTCTACATGGGGTTTAATATAGCCCCACATCCCTCAACCCTAAACCCAAAGCCAGGGGGCGTCAAGGAAGTCTCATCGATCACGCCGGACACCGATGTGGTCGTCCTGATGGCCCCGAAAGACTCTAATCTGTAGAGGGGGCCCAACAGCCTCCAAAGAGTACCCCTTTTTCGGGATGAGTAACAACGGCTGACCCTCATCTGAATTCTGGACATTTGTGGGTCTCTGTGGCTCAATGAAACTATAGCATGCTCGTCTTTGTAGCACGCCAAAACAGACACGTGATGGGGCTGTTCTGATAGGCACCGTGTGACATACGAGTCGAATAACATGTTTGAAGACATGTTGTTCGCACTGTGGCCCACAAAACCGGCGGCAACACTGGTTTGGCATCCGAAAACTTGGGCGTTTCCACAATTCGTGTATCTCTCTTGGCAACCAAAAGCTCTAACCTACTTGGAAAAACCGTGTAGGGTCTAGTCCCAGCAACTTGGGGTTTAGGGTTTCAGGGGTGCCCACCCCTTTCATGCAAGCGGTCGAGTGCACCCAGCGAGCATCCTGTCTCTGAGCAACGCAGGAAGCAACACTGAGGTGCCAACGATGTAGGGGTAGTAATCGTCACCGTCTCCGTCGTCGCTGTGGCAACGGCGATCTTAGCATGTCATGGAGACTCTTACCTCCAGATGTAACTTGATGTAACTACTTGTTATATGAATACTATACCAGTTCAGCATGCATATGTATACATAGATAGAGATCGACAGATGGATAGATAGACAGACAGATAGATATAGCAAGAGATATCACTCTCCCGTCTCTTCAGCCCATCTCTCCCTGTCTCGCCACCCTGTCTTTCTCGGAGCACCTCTCAGAGAAGTTGAGGTTCGCACGTGCTCCGCGAAGACAACATAGGAGACCGAGGTGAATGTTGACGAGCATCTCACCATGCCTGCGAGGGTGAGAAAAGGCGAGCACTTGGAAGTTGACGTGACCTTGGGGTTACCCTAAACCCTAAACCCTAAACCCTAAACCCTAAACCCTGAGGTTTTAAGTTTTAAGCCTTAGCTTTTTGTTCCTTCTTGCTCCGGCTTCACGTGACCCTGACGGCATAGAGAGCCCCAGACATGCACGCCCCCCTTCGCACTCGCGCAGCCCTAGAGCTCGCAGCTCACAGATCCCCCGAATATCGGAACCCTCACAGCTAGAAAAGGGCTTCGGGGGGGGCTTCTTGTAGGATAGTTATGTAAGGGCCATAAGGGGACACGATTCGTAAGTCTTCCGACCCCTAGAAGAAGTGGCCTCCATCTGCCGGAGCCGTGACCGCCTCAGAGATTGGAGTTGCATTGAAGCGTCTGTCTAAAGCGGACATAACATCAGTCGCCTTGCTGATAAGCCCTCTACTCATGCACAAGCCCTAAACCCTAAACCTTAAACCCTACAAGCCCCAACCCTAAACCCTAAACCCGAAACCCTCAGAAGTTCACCCTGTCAGAGCCCCCACAGCCCCCCAACTCGGTGCCCGGCATTCTCGACAGTCCACGTGGCCTGCTGCTTGTCGTAGCGGGCGCAGGTCGGCTTGTTGACGAAACCTGTCCGGAGGGTTTAGGGTTTAGGGTTTAGGGTTTAGGGTTTAGGGTTTAGGGTTTAGGGTTTAGGGTTTAGGGTTTAGGGTTTAGGGTTTAGGGTTTAGGGTTTAGGATTTCAGGGTTTGGGGTTTAGGGTTTGGGGTTTGGGGTTTGGGGTTTGGGGCGTCTCTCATCTGGTACTTCTTATTGCTATGTACATGACAGTTGTTATCTGAGCCGTGCACCATGAATATTGCCAGAATCATGCTGCATCGTCAATGTAGTCTGACGATCATCTTGCCAGCAGTGTGAGCGATGATAGCACCAACAGCCGCAACCAACAAGCCCTAAATTCCAAACTCCTCGTCCCGAGTATGTTTTGCGGGGCTGGGCTGGGCCGGGGGGTGGGAGGGGTTGGAGGGGGGGGGGGGGGGGGGGGGGGGGGGGGGAATGCGGGGGAGGTGGCTAGTCATCAAAACTAAGCCCTCAAAAAGCCCCAGAGCCTCCCCATGAACCCTAAACCCGACTCCCTAAACCCGGAACCCTACACCCCTAAGCCCAGCCCTGAACCCTACACCCCTAAGCCCTGAACCCTAAACCCCACACCCCTACATCCCTAAGCCCTGAACCCGACCCCTGAATCTAAACTGTTGCTTTCAGAGCCTTCTGGGGCAGCCGGGAAGCTGGGGATTGGAAGTCGCACCTCGGGCGGGGAGCTTGAGCCCTCCTGTACAGGAAGGGCTTAGGGTTTAGAGTTGAGGGCTTAGGGTTTAAAGGAGTTTAGGGTTCAGGGTTTCGAAGAGTTTAGGCTTAGGGTTAGGGTTTTTAATAGTAATTAGGGTTTCGGGGGTTTTTAAAGGTTCGCAGGCAAGGTTGCCCACATCGTGACCTTGTTGAGGGTACTTGCATGAGTGCCCCTGTCATGGGGATGGAGGCTCTGGGAGAGGAGGGGTGGGAGGCACGGGAGCGAGGCGGGGGAGCGAGGAGGGGGGAGCGAGGAGGGGGACCGAGGAGGGGAGCCAGGAGGCTGAGTCTCCTCTTTTCCGGTTTAGGGTTCAGGTTAGGGCTTTGGGTACCCTAATCAATCCTGAACCCTGAACCCTGAACCCTGAACCCTGAACCCTGAACTCTGAACCCTGAACCCTGAACCTGCGCCAGACTCTCGGAAACAAAGCTGGTGGAACGGCTGCTGGGGGCCCGAGCGTCCGCCAGCTCGTTCAAGACCTGCTGGAGTCTCTGAATAAAGTTTCGAAGGAGCAGAGAAGCAGCGCAAAAGTAAGAATAAGCAGGAGGCAGACTCAAGTTCTCCTTCAACAGCAGCAACTGTGGCACATATTGTTCATTCATTCAAGGTGGTCAGTACAAGGGGGGCACACCTTCCGGTCACCGTCACCCAACCCTGATCTCTGCAAGGCTGAAAGGTAAACGTTATAGCGATAGCAAAGCATTTAGCAGTAGAATAGTCAAACAAACAAATGTAACGTCATCTGACAGCACGAGTTATAAGGTTCAAGCATGACAAAAACAGTACACAGAGCACAAGCAGCAATAAAGAAACAAACAGAGTAGTCGTCAGTGACAGTAGAAGTAGTAGTAGTAGTAGTAGTAGTAGTAGTAGTAGTAGTAGAAGAAAATGATCCACAGAATAACAATAGTACAAAGCGGTCTTGTCGTAAGTACAAATAGCAGGCATGCGAGAAATGTAAGTAGTAGTACAAAAAAGGGAAGAATAGAAATGGTAGAAAGAAACAAGAAATAATAGAGTAGTATACAGCAGAAAAAAGTAATAGAGGTAATCGAAGTAAGTAATGGAAGTAAAAGGAAAATAAAGACATACTGACTATAAAAAAGAAAAAACATTAGACATGAGAAAAAGTATTACTCGATGCTACGTATATCAAAAAAAGAATTCGGCCAGAGTAACCCTAAAAGAAAAAGGAAAGAACAGAAATACCAGCAGTCATACAAATAATAAAACTCATAAAAGATATTTCTCGTAAAACCAAGATAGTGTCTGCCCCAACACACACCCCTCCCCATCATGTTTTAGCAGTGTCTTTTTCTGTGCGGCAAAACCATCTCGGCTCATCAAGTTCTGCGTGCGTCAATAAAATTCGAGAACTATGTCATCACATCCGCCGAAGTCACAGTCACCAAAGACAATTCGAGAAATGCGCCGACCGTGCTCGTCTATTGCCTTTGTGCAACTGTCATCCACACCCTGCCAAGTTCTGTACCCAGGAAATTCTACAAACCACGCGTCACCTGCCTTGCTCACGGAGACATACATAGCGCTTCCGTCCTCTTCCTGCAATCTCTCTTGCAAAGTTTCAGGCAGATCGTCCCACTGAGATGCTCCATCAGAGGTGCGCATCCACCAGCCTCCATGAGGCGCAAATGCGACCGCTTCAACAGTCAATCTTTCCTTCGAAGCTTTCTTGACAGCTTTGGAGAACGCTTGGCAAGCTTTCCAAGTCATGGACCCATCGTCTAACTTCACAAAAAAGCGATCGTCATCTCCCAAAGCCACGCATGTAGGTGCAGTAGAGTCCTTCTTCTCTGAAACCGCAGTGCCGACTTCTGTCGACATTCCACGATATTTCCAACCTCCACCCGTTTTGCAAAGAAAATATCCAGACCCTTCGTACGAAAGGGCCACCGAACTGATGGCCCCTGCAGTCGCCGAATCCATGAAAGACTGTTGGGTGGCCTCGTTTTGGAATCTTGCGCATATCCGAGGCCCAGGTGGCGGGAAGTCCAAATCGCTTCGGTGCCTTACTTCAATCCTTCTTCCTTCAGTGTCGGTAGTGAAGCGTCTCCTTGGTATTGACCTGTCTGTGACATAAACCTGGACCTCCTGAAGAATCCCTTCTAAGGCCAGCTTCTTGAAGACCCATAGACGGCGGTTGCCATTGAAAGCAAACCACTCGCCATCAACCTCACAGACGGTCATCCTAGGGATGATGGAAACGTGGATGTCCCCATCTCGAAGTTGCTGGTACGTGTCTTCAATGAAGCGGCCACATGAAAAGCGGCAGCTGATGGAGTCATGCGAGAAGAAAATCTCTTCAGGGCGCAGCTTCATGCTGGGTTTGGGGCGAGTCGGCTATGGGCACGAGGTGCCAGTTGCCAGCATGGCCGAGTGATTTCGCAGCAACAGTGTGTGCGTGTGGAGAGAGAGAGAGAGGGAGAGGGGAAAAAAAAGAGAGAGAGAGAGAGAGAGCTTGAAATGCGAAACTGGCAGCATTTCCCGTCATAGGTCATGAGCATGGCCCCAGCATAACTACGCACGCATATGTGCATCCATGGTCCATGGATATGTCCGCTATCAAGGGATGTTCATGTATGCACCAAGGATTTAGCTCGAAGTGGCTAACGCGACCATCCGGGATCTCCGCTCTATCTCGAGCCACGGGGCGACGGACGCCATGGATATTTCAACAGCAGAAAAACACTTGAGGCTTGCAGAGGCTTGCAATGTTTAAGGTATACCTAGACCACTGAGATTTTGGCACTTAAGTGGGTAAGCCTCCTGCCGAGACGGAAACATGTCAAAACCAAAGCCCTGCGAAATCCCAGGCAGGACCCCCCCGCCCCCCAACAAAGAAAAAACATACCAAAACTAAACCTTAACCCCCAAACCCTGCAAGGAACCTAGAGTAAGGCCCAAGGCACTGATCTGCCGCAGAATCGAATCTCCACGTTCAGGACATCCTTTCACGTAACAAGAACGAGAGTGAGTAATGTTCACAGAACAGGCGGCACGAGCTTACAACCCATTATGGTAGGGGATAGGATTTAGGGGGACCCTTGGGGATATAGACCCTCTGAATAAGGCCCCTGTTTAAGAGAGCCAGAAGAGGGTTAAGAAGGGCTCCCTTTTTAAGGGTCCCCCTTATCCTACCAGGATATGGGACGCACTAGGGGACATGGGGGCTGGCTCGGCATCGGTTCCCAAGCCCTAAGCCCCAAACTTCGAACGTGGTGGGGCAGTGTAGAAAGGTGCCTTGGTTCCCTAGAGAGTCCATCACTAACCCTAAACCCTAAACCCTAAACCCTAAACCCTAAACCCTAAACCCTAAACCCTAAACCCTAAACCCACCTGAAGCCCTGAGGCTGCCAAGGCGCCGCATCCTCGGGCACCGTGCCGTTGGCGCCCCGGACGCTTCGGGCGTAGCTGTGCGGGTTGCTCTTCCTTTGGCCGGTTTAGGGTTTAGGGTTTAGGGTTTAGGGTTTTGGGTTTAGGGTTTAGGGCGTTTAGGGTTTGTGGGGTTTTACAGGGTTTGTAGGGTTCTTGGGGTTTTTAGGGTTTTTAGGTTTATCGGGTATTTAGGGTTAGAGGCCTGTTTTGGGTTGAGGGGTTTGAGGGCGCGTGCTTCGCGGCTCAGCGCCTTGTAAGAACCTTGCGGAATCCCAAGCTCTCCAAGGTCTCCCCTCTCCGCCCACTCCAAAAAGAGGGGGCTTCAAAGGGAACTTAGGGGAAGTTCTTAGGTGTTCAGGGGTTTATAGGGTTTAGGGTTTAGGGGCCTTTAAGCGGTGGGGATGTTGGGGGTGGGATGGGGGGGGGAGGGGGGGGAGAGAGGGGAAGCTTTTGGAAGGCGTTTAAGGACTCCCCTCCTTCGGCTTCGGCGGGACTGAACCGGGGAAGCTCGTCAGGTTCTAAGACTGATGAAACCCACTGAAACTCTACAGCTTGTAAAACTCCTAACACCCCTAAACACCCTAAACCCTAAACCCTAAACCCTAAATACCCTAGCCCCAAAACCTCGGCTTTGCAGTCCCAGCAGCAGCCACTCGGTGCTTTGCAGCTCAATACTATCACACGTCTGAGCGAGTCGCCGACCCGCCAAGGCTGAAGCTGAGATCGACAGCTGCTTCCTTGAGGTTTAGGGTTTGGGGGTTTAGGGTTTAGGGTTTACAAGGTTTAGGGTTTACAAGGTTAAGGGTTTACAAGGTTCAGGGTTTACAAGGTTTAGGGTTTACAAGGTTTGGGGTTTACAAGGTTTGGGGTTTACAAGGTTTAGGGGTCAGGGTTCAGGGTTCAGGGTTTAGGGTTTAGGGTTCAGGGTTTAGGGTTTATGGGGGAGTCTCGGCTTTAGGGCGTCAGGGTTGTTTCAGCGGTTCATGGTTTGAGGGGTTTAGGGCTTTGGGACTTGAGGACTTCAGGGTAGGGCTGAGGGCATGACCGGCGCCAAGTCCTTCTTCAAGACCATGTTGGGGTACTTGGGATGCAGGCTTTGGGCCGTTGCGCTTCTGGGACTTTAGGGTTCAGTCAACCCTAAACCCTAAACCCTAAATCCTGAACCCTAAACCCTAAACCCCAAACCCTAAACCCTAAACCCTGAACCCCAAGTTAGGGTTTCTTAGGCTTGGGTTCGTGGCCAACGCCATAGCCATCCTGGGCGGCTACATCAACAAGCGGTGGTGTGGTGGGGGGGGGGGGGGGGGGGGGGGCGCAACGCCTCAAGGCTTGTCCTGGTAGCTGGGACCAGGGTTCGGGGAAACACCCCGGATCGGGTTTAGGGTTTAGGGTTTGGGGTTTGAGGTTTGGGGTTTAGGGTTTAGGGTTTGGGGTTTGGGGTTTAGGGTTCAGGGTTTGGGGTTTAGAGTTTAGGGGGCTTGCAAGCCATGCTGCAGCTGGACACCGCTGGAAGTTGCCTGGCCCAAGCAGCCAGTGGGTCATGGAGCTCACGGTCAAAAACCCTCAACCAACATGAACAAGGACTACTTTGGAGGTTCAGGGGTACTTATAAGCAGAGTCACAAGTCTAACTGTCTAACTTATCACCTACTTAGAGGACTTCGGTGGCTTAGAATTCGAAGTGCAGTTCTACTTGGGGTTAGAAGGACCCTGAACCTCTAAGTATTCCGTTCCCCCATTCTCCAACTTGTGGACCCGATCTATTTGTACGCACATCTGTCAGAATGTTTTCGTATGTACAGTGTACTTTTTCCCATGTAAACACTGCGAAAGACTACCTTGTGGGGGTTTACGAAAAATCGGTGACCCCCCGAAAATAGCCCCCCCCCCCCCCCCCCCCCCCCCCCCCCCCCCCCCCGCCCCCCCCCCCCCCAAAAAAAAAGTAGAAACCCCAAGAAGGTGCCCCCCCCCCCCTACTTTCAGAAACACCCTGTCACTACTACATCTATACTCCCCTTAGAACCTGAATAAAAACGATGTTTCTAACATCCTCTTGGGTTTTATATAAAACAAAAATATAATTCCCAAGGGGGATATAGACAATTTATATAAACAACAAACTTAAAGTAATTTTCCAAGGGGGATATAGGCATGCTCCTGATCTGCCCCCCCCCCCCCCCCAACCCCCACCCCTCCCGATCCTCGGATGCCGACTCCTTCGAGACCGCCAGCTTGACGCCCTCCCCGGTGGTCTCGTCCACAGAGTTCAGCTCCTCGAGTGTGGGGTTTAGGGTTTAGGGTTTAGGGTGTAGGGTTTAGCGGGTGTCTTCGGGTTCTTTTGTGTACTAGGGGAATCCCTATTTGAAAAAAATGCCAAGAGCCCCCAAACGATCCCTTTGTAGATACGGACAGTAGACTGCTCAAAACCGGGAACTGAAACAGTTTTCGGGACCAGAAGCCTAAACCCTGCGCCCTACACCCAAACCGGGTGCAAAATCGAAGCCGAAACCAGAGGTGAGGGGCTTGAAGCCCTCGGTACCCCGCTTAAAGCTTAAACCCCGAAGCCAAAAACACCCTGAACATTACAAAAACGAAACTAAACCAAAACCCACACCCCTGCACCCTAAACCCTAAACCCTAAACCTCTTAAGCGATTGAGACCCCAAAACATGGATGGGGTCCTGCAGCTCCCCTGCTTCCAAGGACTTGGAGGCCGCCTGTTTAGAGGGTTTAGGGTTTAGGGTTTCGGGTTTCAGGTTTGGTGTTTAGGGCTTAGGGTTTGGGGTTTGGGGTCTAGGGTTTAGGGTTCAAGGTTCAGGGTTGAGGGTTTGCGGTTTAGGGTTTAGGGTTGAGGATTTAGGGTTTTGGGGTTTCGGGCTTTGAGTTTCGGGTTTTTAGGGCTTCGGCTTTAGGGATTAGGGATTCGGGTTTGCGATCTAGAGTTGACTTAGTAGCTCAGTAACCATATTCTAACAAGGGCACACTTTTTGGGGTTGGCTATTTGCTAAGGGAGCCCATAACCAAAAAAAAAGGGTACAGGGTACCACTGGGTTACCAAGTTGAGGCGGCCGCCGCAAACCTCCAAACCCCGAGCCAACCGCGAGTGGCGGAAAGGATCCGGCTTGAGGCACTGGGGTTTCGGCATTAGGGTTTCGAATTGTGTTTGGGCTTTGGAGTGCTAAACCCTAAACCCTAAACCCTAAACCCCAAACCCTAAACCCTAAACCCTGAACCCTAAACCCTAAACCCGAAGAGGCCTGCCCCAGGTCGGAGATCAGGGACACCAACTTGGAGCTCACACTCTGGACCTTCGGCGCTTGAGGCGCAAAGTCTGAGGTTGGAACCATGGGCCCTTGTTTAGGGTTTAGGGTTTAGGGTTTAGGGTTTAGGGTTTAGGGTTTAGGGTTTAGGGTTTAGGGTTTAGGGTTTAGGGTTTAGGGTCTACCCCCCTCTGTACTATCCCGCCTACTAGGTTTCCCCTTAAATGACTTGAATTAGGCTTAGTTACCCCTAAATAACCTCTCTCTCTTTTTTTTTTTTTGGGGCAGGGGGGGGGGGGAACCTGCTTACGGGGATGCAAAGGGATCTGAAGAATGGGCCTTATTGTGTGTTGAGTGTTGTTAAACAGGGGACCCAAATTCAGGGCCCGTACTTCGGATCCCCTAAAGAGGGAAGGTTGAGGTTTTTGGGGCTTCAGGCTTTAGGGCGGGTTAGGGTTTAGGGCTTCGGGCTTTAGGGTTTTAGGGCTGAGGGCTTTATGGTTTTAAGTTTTTAGGGTTTAAGGTTATCAGGGTTTAAGGCTTTCAAGTATTCACGGTAGGACTTTCAGGCCTCTTGAGAAGGCCTTTTAGGGCCTGTTGGCGCAGCCTCACCCTAGACCTAGGGTTTTAGGGGTTTAGGCTCTATTGGCCAAATCAGGCTGCTGTGTTGCAAGTCGGGCTTTGGGGCTGGAGGGCTCTTGAGCGGCAGGGTTGTGGGGCGCCAAAGGGCTAGGTTTCGGTTTCGGGTTCAGGGGGTTAGGGTCCCTAAACCCTAAACCCTAAACCCTAAACCCTAAACCCTAAACCCTAAACCCTAAACCTTTTAGACTTTTGTCAGGCGGAGGCTCGCGCTTCTTGCCGGATCTCTACTCGAGCCCTCTGTCTTCGGGCAGTGAGAGATGGCCATCTGATGTCCACCAAGGGTTTAGGGTTTAGGGGTTTAGGGGTTTAGGGGTTTAGGGGTTTAGGGGTTTAGGGGTTTAGGGGTTTAGGGGTTTAGGGGTTTAGGGGTTTAGGGTTTAGGGCCTGCTGCGATGCTGTCCATGCCGACGGAGAGGGAACAGTCTCATTGCTCCATGTCCTCATCACCGTCTTCATTGTCCTCATCAATGAAGACTAGGGTTTAGGGTTTAGGGTTTAGGGTTTAGGGTTAGTTTAGGGTTTAGGGTTTAGGGTTTGGGGTTTAGGGTTTAGGGTTTAGGGTTGAGGGTTTAGGGTTTAGGGTTTAGGGATTAGGGATGGCCCTGAAGACCCCCTGAAAACTATTCCTAAAGACTATCCGACTCTTGAACCCAATAATAAGGGGAAATATGAAAATGTCCCACGGTCCTCATCCATGAAGAGATCATCTGGCAGCTGCGGCGCATCGGACTCACCAATCTTCGTACCCACGTTGACGTTCGTGAAATGGATGCCGCGCGTGTTGAACTCCAGGAGAAGCTTGAAGTAGGTGTCTAAGTCAATCTTGATGGCACGCTTGTCAGACAATTTCAAGGCTGCCAAGACTTCCACCACTTTGTCCTTCATGTTTCTCCTGTCCGGCTTGCAGCCTGTTAATGCACACCAGGTGGTGTAGTTGTCCTCCAGCGTCTTTAACGTGTAGGACATGCAAAATGACGATCGCAGGGTCTTACGCTTTCGCCCAAAACAAATCCGCATTAAGCCATCCCATTCTCGAAAGTCGACTTCGATCGGCGGAAATCTCGGCACGATCTTCACGACCATCGAGTCTACTTCAGGAGGTGGCGTGAAGTTCATTCGCCCAACCTTGCAGACGCAGGTAACCTTTACAAACAAGCTGGTGTTGACGGCGAGGCGTCCGTACTGAGACTCACCGACTTTGGCGATCAATCGCTCGGCAAACTCTTTCTGGAACATGAGTACGGCACACCGGAAGGCGGGGCGATGTGCCAGCAGCTTGAAAGTGAATGGTGAGGATATCTGATAGGGCAAGTTTGCCACGCAGACATCGAAGATGGGCCACTTCCTGGCGAATGATGCAGATGATATATATATATATACATACACACACACACACACACACACTATAAGAACCATATGCAAAAAACCCTGCTTACCTGGCAAAAGACCTTCAAGTAAATCCAAGCACCAAGAAAGCCCCCAGCTTTTATTTAAGCACATTAGGACCTTTAAGAGATTTCCCGAGAACAAGAAAAACAAGCACCACAAAAGAAACCCACCCTAAACCCTAAACCCTACACCCTACACCCTACACCCTAAACCCTAAACCCTAAACCCTAAACCCTAAACCCTAAACCCTAAACCCTAAACCCTAACACAAAAGAAACCCCAGCTTCTCTCGCAGGACGTCGTTTTCTTTGACCTCCAGGTTGGTGCGGCCCGTGGAGGCGATCCGCTTGCGGACCTCTGCGGCCATGCGCGGGTCGATCTCACAGGCGATGACCTGCTTCTTCGTAGCCCAAGAATACCATGGTTTAGGGTTTAGGGTTTAGGGTTTAGGATTTAGGGTTTAGGGATATTATGATAAGGGTGCCCCCCCTTACTAAGGGTTTAGTAGCCCAAGAAGCAGAGTATGATAAGGGTGCCCTGTTTTGAGGGTATCGTAGCCCAAGAACCAACTATGATAAGGTGGCCTTAAATAAGGGAGCCTAGAAGCCCAGCAACCATGTCATGATAAGGGTACCCGTTTTCAGTGGTACTTTACATAGAGAGAACTTATAGAAACCAAAAATCAAGGACAAAAGGCCACCAACTGCACTGCCAAGCCTTCTTGCAGCTCTCGACCAGCTTGAGCGTAAGGTTGCCTGTTCCAGGACCGATCTCAAAGGCGGTGTCACTCGGCTTGAGGTCCGCAGCAGCCAGGATCTTGTCAACGATTCCGGGGTTGCGAAGCAGGTGCTGCCCGAATTTCTTGTTGGTCGGGACTCCGGTTCCACCTCCCCCCGCACCTTGACTTTTGCCGGGCTTGCCCTTGGTGGCAGACTTTCCCTGGTTGGCTTTCTTCTTCAAGTTCTGCTTCTTCACCTTGGCCATTCCGCGCGCCTGGGGCTAGCCGGTGGCTGATCACATCTCGAGCTCAGCTCGAGCGAAAATGGCTTGCAAGCCTACTGTAACTTCCCAAAAGAAGCGGATGCATGCTACGAACCAAGGGTCAGGGGGCAACGGGCTGAGGGCTTTTGGCTCGGAGCCGAGGGTCATCCCCCCCCAGCCGACCCCAAAGTAAGGCCCAAACAAGCCTCAATTGAGGGCGTTTTTGGTCTTATCTTGGGCACCTGAAAAGGAGGGGCGGGGTAGAAAGCGTTGCTCGAAGGGGGGGGGCTTTGGGTCTTCAGAGTCGAAGACTTAGGGAGCATGGGGCTTTGGGCGGGGGGGGGGGGGGGTTAGGGTTTGAAAAGGCAGGAGAGAAGAGGGTTCAGGGGTTAGGGTTTAGGGTTGCTGGGACCTTCTTGACCGGAGTCGTAGAGACTCTGTGGGAGCACGGCCTGCTCGAAACTGGAGTTGCTGGACACACTTAAGCCACCAACCAGCCTCGGGGCTGTCTAGACCTGAAGCCCATACACGCCGTGCCCCATTCACTCCAAGTCTCATCCGTGCGCATGCCCAAATCTCCTACACCCCAACAAGCAAAAACCATCAGACTCCAGAAAGTTCCTCCAACCCCTACACCCAGGCCATCCTTATATAGCCTTGCACAGCATCCCCTGAAGGGTTCCCAGTACAGGGGCTTTAGGGTTTGGGGTTTAGGGTTTGGGGTTTAGGGTTTAGGGTTAGGGTTTAGGGTTGAGGGTTCCTCCTCCTTCCCATTCAACTCTCCTTTTGTGCAGTCCACGTCGCCCCGTCGTCCTCCAAAGCGTCCCCGGAGCTCTTCCCGATTGTCACGATGCTTGCCTAGGTTTGCCCTTGATTCCCTCTGAATATGTTCTGAGCCAGATCCTCTTAAACTCAAAACATCACGACACACTACCTAGTAGCCCTGAGTTCAGTTGGGCTTAGGAGTTCAAGGAGCTTGCGGTTGGGGAGTTCAGGAGTTCAGGATAAACCCCAAACCCCTAAACCCCTAAAACCCTAAACCCCCAAACCCCTAAACCCCTAAGAACCCCTAAACCCCTAAATCCCTAAACCCCTAAACCCTAAACCCTAAACCCCCAACCCGAAACCAAAATTGCGATTAAGACCCGGCAAGGGACGAGGATGGAGGTGCCCGCGGACGAGGACACGCCGGTCTCGCTCGCGTTCCTGCCCAACGTCGCGCCCCTAAACCCTAAACCCTAAACCCTAAACCCTAAACCCTAAACCCTAAACCCTAAACCCTAAACTGGCAGAGGGTGAGGGTTCAGGGTTTGGGTCTGGGGCACAAGGAGCAGGGCACAAGCACATTAACCTAAACTTCTCAACCCTATGTAGGGTCTAGGGTTTCGGGCTAATAACATCCAAACCCCTCCACCCCCCCCCGCAGCGGGCGCTTCCACTAGAAGTGCTTCCGAAGGGCAGCGCCAAGTCAAGACCTTGGGCACGCATCGCACGCGCGCTGCTCTGGAAGCTTGGGCACATGCCAGGATGGGCAATTCGGCCCTATAACCCCCATGAACAGCCCCATAAATAGTCCATCCTGGTGCTGTCCGAACCGGGCTTGGGGGTTGAGGGTCCACCCCCCCAAACACTTCAACCCTAAACCCTAAACCCTAAACCCTAAACCCTAAACCCTAAACCCAACACTTCTCCCACTCGCGCCGGCTCTGAGGAGCCGGCAGCTTCCAAGCACGTCGGCCGCGCGCGTCAGCGCGGACTCATCAGCCGCCCCTCCGGTGGAGACCACGACCTGGAGCAAGGCTTTGGGGTGCCCCTTGCTGGGTTTAGGGGTTTAGGGTTTAGGGTTTAGGGTTTGGGGTTTTGGGTTTAGGGTTTAGGGTTTAGGGTGTTGGGCTTAGTTTTCGAGGTTTCGGTTGTACAAAGGGTTCAGGATTGACGGCCAAAGCCTCAAAACTGAAGAAGAAAGAGCACAGGAAAAACGCAATCTTGGTAGCCCAGTAACTACATCATAATAAGGGCACCCTGTTTGGGGGTTGGTTACTTTACAAGGGAACCCAGAACGAAAAAAAAATGTAAAGGGTACCACGCTACAAAGACCCTAAACCCTAAACCCTAAACCCTAAACCCTAAACCCGCAAAGAAAATGCAATCAACAGCACACGGCCTTCTTCACGCTCTCGCCTAACTGCTGCAAGCTCTCTTCGGTCGCCTCCACCTCACAGTATTCTTCTTCAGCCATGCTGGACGTTTAGGGTTTAGGGCTTAGGGTTTAGAGTTTAGAGATTAGGGCTTCGGGCTCAGGGTTTAGGGTTTAGGGCTTTAACGGCTGCTACCCCAAACCCTGGAGCAGCAAATCCAGTAGCAGCGTGTGCTCTCAGGTGAAGCTTCCTTTATTTGGCCGTGGGTTGACGTTCGCGACGAGTAGTTTCAAGATGTTTGGGGATATATCAGGGAATTTTGGCTCCAATTCTAAATTGGGTGGAATTAGGGTTCCTTTTTGGGTCCTACACATAGCACGGCACCCTTCAAGCAAAAACACAGACAGGGTGCCCGAATGTAGAGAACTACCCATGAGGGATTGAAGGAAGATTCTTCCGAAACCCTAAACCCTAAACCCTAAACCCTAAACCCTAAACCCTTCTGGGGCAGCCGCAATGGAAGTTACGCTCTCCAACGCAGAGAGGGCCAGGTTGGTGACCTCCCGCTTCGCTTCTGCGCTGGTGTCGTTGACTGCACCTAACCAGGGAATAGGTGTGTGTGTGTGTATATTTACATATCGATATATATATATATATATATATATATGAATGTATATGTGCGTATATATTTGTGTATATATATATATGTGCATATATATATGTATATTGTATATGTACATATTGCACACACCTACACACATATATATATATATATATACACACATACATATACATATATACATATACATATATATATATATATACTTGTATGCATGTTTGTGTGTGTATATGTATATATATATATATATATATATATATATCCCACCATCCCCTTTAAATTGGAATATACCTTGGCCGAAATCTGTCGACCCCACGGTGCCCTTTGCCTGACATCTCCGTGACGGCATTGAGCGATGACAAGATCTTGTTTGGATCGCTGGACTGCTGCACAGCTGCCTTCGAAGGCGGTGACTATTGGAAGCTGAGGGTTTAGGGCTTCGGGTCACTTGCTTCAACCGTTCCCTTAGACTCCCTAATCAAGGGGCATTATGGCTCCGGTGCGACGAGCTCTTGATAGGGCATTCGGTACCCAAAAGAACCCCACTAAGAGCACATGGCCACTTCTCAAAGTTATGGTCCCTTTTCGGGTTGCTATTAGAAGCCCCCCTCCCCCCCGCGCCCCTCATATTCAGGGTACAAAAAGGGACCCTACATAATATTCTAAGGGAGCTGATGCTAGGTTGTGAGGTGGAGACGCGGCCTGTCGGCATGCTGCCGGGTCCACCTGAAGGACCCTGTACCCTACAAACCTCAGCCAATAAAGCCCACCAAGCCCTAGACAAACATAAACCAAACCCTACTCAGCCCTACTACTGAAACCCTAAACCCTACACCCGAAACCCTTCTCTCAAACCCCCCTGGGCAAGCTGCCAGGGCGTTGGTCAGGTCGGCCGTGGACAGCGTGGAGGGCTGCCGCACCCAGGGGCCTAAAACCGCCGTGGAAGCCACACCGCCCAGGTGGTCCCTGGCGCCTTTTAGGGGGCTGTGGGGGCTTCGGATTTCGGAGGGGGTTTGGGGTTTTGGGGGTTTTGGGGGTTTTGGGGGGTTTTGGGGGTTTTGGGGGTTTTGGGGGTTTTGGGGTTTTTGGGAGTTTGGGGGGTTTTGGGGTTTTTGGGAGTTTGGGGGGTTTTGGGGGGGTTTTGGGGGTTTTGGGTGCTTTGGGTGTTTTGGGTGTTTTGGGGGTTTTGGGGGTTTTGGGTATTCTAGGGCTTGGAGACAGACAGCACTTGGAGCTTCATGGGTACTTCCCAAGTCGGGCCAGGAATGCCTCAAGTACGGTCATCATACACCGACGGCCTTGCTTATTACCCTTACTGACAACTATCTCTGAACCCTGAAATAGAGTGGGGTTTAGGATTTAGGGTTTAGGGCTTATTAAAGTTTAGGGTTTAGGGTTTAGGGTTTAGGGTTTCGGGTTTAGGGTTTAGGGTGTAGGGTGTAGGGTGTAGGGTGTAGGCGACCAAGGGATCCAACACCCGAAGCCCTGAACAGCTTGCGCGGCGGCTGCGATATCAAGATGAACCAGGATGTGGCGCGGGCTGCAGATGCACAGCTACAGTGTTCATCACGGATTCATCACGCTTGTCTCTAAGCCTAAGGCCCTAAACGACAGGCCCTAAACGCCCTAAACTTGCAACTTGAATACTGAGCATGAGCTGATGGTGCTTTGCTTAGGGACGTCTCAACTTGGGGCACTTGCAAACCTAGAACCTACCTGAAGACCTTCTGAAAATACCCCAATGATCCGCTTAAACCCAATGAGGGAAAATATGAAGGGCCTGCCTAAACCCTAAACCCCAAACCCCAAACCCCAAACCCCAAACCCCAAACCCTAAACCCTAAACCCTGAACCCTAAACACGACCAGGCACGGGCAACTGTGTAGTAGGTGCCGCTTGCCAGGTCCAATCCGGAGATGCTGGCTGAGGATCCCCAGACACTAATCAGCAGTCCACTGAACTTGGTCCAGTACCTGGGCTTAGGGTTCAGGGTTCAGGGTTTAGGGTTTCGGGTTTAGGGTTTGGGGTTTGGGATTTAGGGTTTGGGGTTAGGATTCAGGGTTCAGGACACCAAAAGAGCCCAATACCCCTTAATTCAGGAATATTCCTTAAATCATATTAAGGATCCATTTTTATAAACTAAGGTATACTCCTTAATTAAGGGGTATTGGGCTCTTTGGGCAACCCAAGCCAGCGAAAGTGCGAAGCGGCTAGTGCTTCATCTACGGGTGAGCCAAAGGAACCTAAAATTTCGAAACAATCCTTCCAAAGCAACTACAACTCAACATACTTCTCTTCTAGGAGGGGGCTCCTAGACCCAGGACCCAGGAGTAAGCTAGGCATGACAAAGGTGCCCTTCTGGTTTGAATGATCTTGGGGAATCAAACCCCCCCAAAAAGGGAATAAGGGCCTCCTCCGGGTCCTAGGTTCTCTTAGAGACGGGCCCCGGGGGTAGCGACACAGATGACGACAACTTATGTGGCTTAGGGGCGCCTGATTTCTGATCTTCGGGTCATGCGCGTGTGCATAAAAACACCAAGCAAGGTTTCTACGGTTCCAAGTATGAGCCCTTAATTTGGGTCTCCTGCTCCATAACCCTTGTATAAACTATACATTATTGAGGGCCCTAAACCCTATAAACAAGGGTAAGGGACGATACTCACGGCCCAAACTACCCTTAGACAGGTTAGGAGCTCGAGGATTGTTTGGCCATGAGGGTCGGGGGGCTGATCGTGCCCTAATATAGGGGTCGGAATAATTACTATATAATAGTAATTTCTTATGGTCCCTCTATATTAGACGCCCAAAACCCTATTCAACTATTGAGCCCCCCATTTTAATAGCCCTAAACCCTAAACCCTATATTACTCGGGATTTTTGGCTTTGGGCTAAGTCGAGCGGCTGCGGGCTGGAGGGATCGCTCCATTCAATCGTTGGCATCCTCCAGCTTGGTGGGTTTAGGGTTTTGGGTTTGCGCAAATCTGAACTCTACAGCCCCTGCACACCGTTTGGTTGTAGGGCTTGCGGCTTAGGGTGCCAGAAGTTCAAGAACCCTTGAACCCTCTCTGGGGGCCGGCGGGAGAGCTAAGATTTTTGGTGGGCTTGCAGGGTTTGCAAGGTTTAGAGTCTGGAGTTTTGGGTTTAGGTTTAGGGTTTAGGGTTTGTTTAGAGTCTGGAGTTTAGGAGTTTTGCGGGGGGGGGGGGGGAACTCTAAACCTAGAAGCCCAAAGCTCCAACTGCCTTCCTCAAGCCAAGCGTCTCGAAGGTCGGCGTTGACTGAAGGGTTCCGTCCGAACCTGCGAGTGTTGGGTTTGGGTGTTCGATTCTTGGGGATGTCGGGTCTGGGGTTTTGGGTTTTGCTAGGGGAATGCGACCTTCCGACACTGTGTAGGTGTCGCCGAGAGGGAAGATGTAGAACGCGTAGTCCAGCGTCGATGCGTCCTGTCTTCCCTAAATCCGAAACCCTAATCCCTGGGGGTGGGGGGTTGAGGGGTTTCGGGTTTCCATCGAAATCCAACCTCTATTTGTTCAAGGTCTGTTTCCCATCTTGTGGGTTAAACAACCCCCCAGGCCCCGAAGGGGCAGCACCCGAAAAACCGAACCCGCGATGTTCTCCTCGTCCGACCACTCCTCTGTCGCCAGGCGGAACTTGCTCTTCCTTGGCTCAGCTGGTTAGTTTAGGTATCTTATGGCCCCTCTACTTGGAAGCCCTTTCGACTTAGTAAGTCTACTTAGTATCTTCTAGGAACCCTTTAATACTCCCCAAAACCCAACTTACCAACCCTCCATACTGAGTCAGCATGGTCCTGTACAAGGGCAAAGAAGGTACCCTTGCTGGGAACCTTTCCTTCTTAGGGCCCCCCGAACCATCTCAACTCTAAACCCGAAATCCTAAACCCTCAGCCCTAAGCCCTCTGCCCCAAACCCTAAAGTCCTAAACCCTTTCCAACGGGTTCCCAAACCTTAAACCCTAAACCCTAGACCCTGAACCCTAAACCCTAAACCCTAAACCCTAAACCCAAGTCCCAGCTTCAGAGCCTCCCCAATCTCTGGGCTAACGACCGCACGACCCGAGGAGGGCGGCGCGTCTGCCACGAAGGGCAAGGACCTCAGGGAGGGGTCTAGGAAAGGTTTAGGGTATAGGGTTTAGGGTTTAGGGTTGAGGGTTGAGGGTTGAGGGTTGAGGGTTGAGGGCTGAGGGTTGAGGGTGAAAATAGGGATACCTTTTCCGGCAGGTTTCGGGTTCGGGGTTTAGGTTGTTACGCTCTTGTTCTTTCTTGGGAGGACCTGAGTTGAGGTCAAGAGGATGGTCTTTGGAGAAAGGTGGCGAGGGCTGCATCTGCAGAATGCGTGCGCAGAGGGTTCCTTTTAACCTGAAGAATTCAGAACTGATACCGAGTTCATGCCTAGTAGTTATGGTGATCAATACTCAATAATGAATGATCGCGATGACGAGAAGAAGAACGGCGATGACAACAAAACGATAAAAACATTACAAACTGGTACTCATGTGTCTGTAGCAGAGGGGCCTTAACTTAGCCGAGAGACGGCAGCCCTATACCCTAAAACCCTAAACCCCAAACCCTGTTTAAAAAGCTAAGAGCTCCCTCAAACACCTGAAGGTGCAGGCCCCGCGGCAGTGTGACGGAGAGGCCGTAGATCGCCGCATCTTGCAGGGACCCGGACTGCTCGCCCAACGCGAGGTGGGACGCGTTCGCGGCACCTCCATACCAGGAAGGGTTTAGGGTTTAGGGTTTAGGGTTTAGGGTTTAGGGTTTAGGGTTTAGGGTTTAGGGTTTAGGGGTGAGGGGTTAGGGGTTAGGGGTTAGGGACATACCCCTTCTATTCCCTGCACAAGTTAAGGGCCTATACATCAGAACCCTTTTAAGGGAGGTAAGGGACCTTACTAAGGGCCCGTAGAGCTACTCTTAGATAGAACCCCCATAGACAGCCCTAGAAAGGCCCTTACTTTTTCAAAGGTCAGGTCTAACCCTAAACCCTAGTAGGATCCGTATCACCGGCTTTCTTCGCCCGAAGACCCCAAGGCCCCTAGAGTACTTAAGGAATATACCTTCATTTCCATCGGGACCCTTAAAGATGGTTTCAGCTCTACTCCTTAACTAAGGGGTATGCGGCTCCTTGGGAGGATTTAAGAACTGGACCCCTCAAACCCTAGACCCTGACCCTTAAAACACCTCAGCCTCTAAACCTCCAACATCCCCCGCTTCCCACCCCAACCAACAAAGATCCCCATGTGGTGTAAAAATGAAGATGATACTGAGGAAATAACGAAATGGTCATACGAAGCAGTGATTCTTATGGCTTATGGCCATACACGATGCGACACGAACCTTCATAAGAGAAGAATGACATAAGATCTAGAGGTTCTACCTTGGACCCTCAAGATTGTCCCCTTGGGTTTTGGGGACCCTCTTAAAACTTAAGGATCCCTAAGGGAATATAACTTTTGGGGTCTTAATGCGTTGGGATGTGCCCCTTATACTAGCAATCCTTCACAGGGATTGTACTGATTGTACTAGGGGTACTACAATCCCTACTAAGGACTGCTAGGATAAGGGGGAACATCCCAAATAATGCAACATAAACCACAAAACCCTAAACCCTAAACCCTAAGCCCTAAACCCTAAACCCTAAACCGTAAAACCTAAGCAGGCCATGGCGCTCAGGAGGGCGTAGACGTAGGTGGTCGAAGGCACCAGGGCCGTGCTGGTGAAGTCCGTGGTCGACACCGCAAGGGATACACCTCCGGCTCGTGCTCAACCAGTGGATGAGGAGGGCTTGGGGTTTAGGGTTTAGGGTTTAGGGTTTAGGTGTTAGAGTTAGGGTTTAGGGATTTAGGGATTTCGGGGTTTAGGGGTTTAGGGGTTTAGGGGTTTAGGGGTTTAGGGGTTTAGGGGTTTAGGGGTTTAGGGGTTTAGGGGTTTAGGGGTTTAGGGGTTAGGGTTTAGGGTTTAGGGTTTAGGGTTTAGGGTTTGGAGAATCTCAGCAAAAGTTTAGGGAGTTCAGGACTGGGGGTTTGTAAGGACCCTCCGCTTTGTGTCAACATCTCGCCGGTCAGAAAGTGCAGGGCCAGGCACTGAGGAAGACAGAGTCAACCGCCCACGCGGGGTTAAGGTTAAGGGGAAACCGAAACCCTTAACCCCTACACCCCAAACCCTACACCTTAAACCCTAAGCCCTGAACCCTAAACCCTGAACCCTGAACCCTAAACATGCTTTTGCCGGGCCTGCGGTAGTGGTGCTGTCCAAAATGCTGACGATCTGCTGGGGTGCCTTTGGCGACGATGCCGCACTATGTCCGTTTGCTTCAGAAAATTAAACGAACAAAAAGTAGCAACATATTCTTCGACTCAAACAACTAGTAGTGTACTATTTGCTTAAGAACCCCCGAAATGCCAAAATGTTCTTCCTTAAAAATGCAATATAGGGATTGTCTTCTATCTTTTTGGGGGGGTTCTTCATCAAATCGTATGCTAGGTCTGTGTCCAGATTCCTAGGTGGGAACTCACGGCTGGCCTGCGGGATGACATGGGGTTCAGGGAGTTCGGGGTTTAGGGTTTGGGGTTTTGGGTTTAGGGTTTAGGGTAAACACTCAGAACCCTAAACACCCAAAACCCCACGCCCTAAACCCAAACCCTCACTCAGCGACGATACGTGATCCAATAAGGGCCCATGCTTCGGATCCCTTCAAACCCCTTTAAAGAAGGGTAAGGGACCATGCCCCCATGGTTTAAACCCTAAACCCTAAACCCCAAACCCTAAACCCTCCAACCTTAGAGACCAAGCTGCTTCCTCTTTGGCCAGCACCCACTTGAAGGCGGCGCCGCTGGGGACCTGAAGCTGCGAAAGGCGGCAGGATAGGGCTTAGGGTTCAGGGTTCAGGGTTCAGGGTTTAGGGTTTAGGGTTTAGGGTTTAGGGTTTAGGGCTTAGGGTTTAGGGTTTAGGGTTTAGGGCTTAGGGTATTGGGAGTGTAAGGCTTCGGGGTAAGGAAATTTCGGGCTTAGGAGTCTAGGATGGTTCAGGGGTTTAGGGTTGGCGGACTTTAGTGGGTTCAGAGGTTTCGGGTCTATAGTGCTTAGGAATTCCAACCCTAAACCCTAAACCCTAAACCCTAAACCCTAAACCCTAAACCCTAAACCCTAAACCCTAAACCCTAGAAACCCTAAACTTGCTGAAGCTTGCGCCCCCCCGGCCTGGCACCCACCTTCGCTGCCAATCGTGGCCACAATTGGCACTTTGAGCTCTGGTGCCTGGCTAGCGGCTCTGGTGGCATGTCTGCTTATACTACTCACAATCAGAATATTAATACTAATAATAATCAAAAACAATCACACTATTAACAATCAGAATAAGAATAGTAATAATAATAATAATAACAACAATTTAATCATAACAATATAAATAAGTAATAAGTGGATAGAAGTCTCTCAGGTTTTGAACTACAACTTAGGGTACGTGGAACCCTTGTTGTCACCTGCTTCTCTTTCCCGGAGCCTTCTAGCAGATTTCTTCCACCAGCATGTACATCGTGCAGTTGTTCAGGTGATGGCAATGCCATTCTCATGCTTGAGGCTGTGGGAGCTTGCGTCGAGTGTCTGCAAAGAAAGTCGAAGATCAAAGTCTTGAAATGGCCCTAAACCCTAAACCCTAAACCCTAAACCCTAAACCCTAAACCCTAAACCCCAGGGTGATCCAGGATTTAGGGCACGCATTTTAATGTTTAGGGCTTAGGGGGCCTGAGAGTTGTCGGGCCGAGGGTTCTCCAGGGTTGTCGAGCATTCTGAGGAGCTAATGGCAAGCCCTACATGAACCCTGAACATCCCAAAACCCCCCATGTAAGCCCCCTAAACCCCCCAAACCCCCCAAACCCCCTAAACAAAAACCCTAAACCCTAAACTCCTCGAGGCCCTGTCAGCCTGCAAGGAGATCCGGTCCATGCGGCTCCACGGTGTCGCGATCTGGACTGGCAGGGGGCCTCCCGACTGCACGGCAATCGTCACCTGTCAGCAGGCTCTGTGAATAGAAGCACAAGAATATTTCTTTAATAATGTGCTAATAGGATACGGTACTAACACGAGTCTTTTTCATACAATGCTCAATCAGTATCATATGATTCTAGGAGAGCACAATAGTACAATACTCTAATGATTGCAGGCTCCAAGCTCTAGGACCCTGAGTCGGCCACAGCGAGAGGTGCCAGCGGCCTCTGCAACGCTGAAGATCGTGAAATGGCCCGGGATGTATTGCGTCATAGTCACACCTAAAGGGTTTAGGGTTTGGGGTTGGGGTTTGGGGTTTAGGGGGGCCACCATGGCGGATTGGAGATGCGAGAGAAAAACGACAAAGAGCGCCGATTGCTCAAAGGTCAGATCACGGCTAGGGTGCCGACGGAATCTGTAGCTTCCCAGGGCAAGCTCGCTCCCACTGAGCCTTGGTCGCCCAGCCACCATACTTTACTAAGGGCACCCTTTTGGGGGGGCTGGTTACTCTATAAGTTTAAGGGAACCCAGAACCCAAAAAGAAGGGGGTAGAGGGTATACCACTGGGCCACCAGGAAGCTGGAGGCCTGCCTCGGTACTGCCTGCGCCTCCGCTGGCGAAATTTGAGATGGTGGAATTGCAACTGCTTGGTTGGTGACACGTCCAGGCATAGACGATCGTGGCACTAGGGTGGACCACGCCGGTCCATGAAGTGGCCAGTTGCAGGTCACATCCAACCCCAACACTTCGAGGCCCCGTGACCTCAAGGGTCGGGGGGGGAATGTCGGCCACCGTGACATGGAAAACCACTTCTTGCGCTCCTTGCGCCTCCGAGGACAGGCTTGCTGTTGCCCGGAACTCATGAACTCCCGGGGCGAGCCCGAAGGCTGCCACCCGCACCCTGTTTGGCAAGGGAGATGCATCCATCAAGCCTGCTTCAGTGAGAGTTGTCCATGATGCAGAACTACTGGCCTTGTAGTGCCAGGTGGTAACTGGTGTGCCAGTGACCTCCTCTGACTGGTTACAGGGGGCCACAATGCCTGTTGCTACCTCAAGCTCGACGTCCTCGTCAAGGGATCGGGTCAGCGTAGTTGGACCAACTGCCATGATGCTGGCTGTGGGCTGTCCGTCGCTGAGCAGTTTGACAGAGGTGCTCATCATGCTGCTGTCACCCAGCCAATTTGTCACCTGAACGCTCACATCAAGATCGAGCCCCTGGCCGTCCTGCACCTGGGCCGCAGACAGCACGCTCGCCAAGACTGCAGGCGACAGCTCTACAGATGTGGAGGAGTCCGCCGTGGCAGCCGCGAGCACGGAGGCCAAGTTTGGTGACTGGGAGCTCGTAGACCACTCGAGCTGAAGCGCGCGGCCCGCAGAGCCCGATGCCTGCAAGAGCAGCGTCACTGGCACGCACGGTAAGACAGCCGGAGGAGAGGCGGACAGGAAGCCAGAGACTTCGACAACCGGCAGACTCGATGTGACTGCTACGAGGCCTGCCGCCGTCACCAAGCTGATGGAGTCTCCAAGCACCAGGGTGGCTCCGCTTCCCAATGTGACTGCAAGCTGAGACCCGGCAACGTTGCAGGAAAACTCACTGCCGAACTTCTGGCCGAGGACTGCGTTGAAGGCATCGGCGCAGGAGGTTGGCGTAAGCAGTTCTGCTGTCACAACCACGTCAAATGTCAGGAGCAGGGTGCTGTAGCCCGCCGTGAATTCGGCTGACACCAGGGTCGGCACCGAGCCTACCATCCAGGGCTCGCTCGCTTCCGACGGCTCGCTGCTAATGGCCGGATCGGCACACAGAAGTGTCACTGAGAAGGTGTAGGTGTTGCCAGTAGCAAAGCCGTTGGCGATGCACGAGGTGCTTGAGAGGTTCACGAGCCCTTGGCAGCCGGGAGGCGTGAGCTCAATGCTTCCTGCACGGGCATGGACCTGCCAGGCAAGGAAGGAGCAGTCGTTCAAAGGCCTCACGTTCCAATGCAGCTGGACGCTGTCCGGGCTGAGCATGGTCCAGGTGACACGCTCCGGGGGCACGGCGGCTACGAGCCGATTCACGCTGGAAACCTGCACCTCGCTAGCAGTGCCTGTTTCGACCTCCACTGCCGTGGAGACGTCAGCGGCCACATTCTCGGTGATGTCCTTAGTAGAGGTATCCTCCGAGACTCCGTCCACAACCACGGAGAAGACTGTCGCGAGAGCCGAGAGCCTTCGGCTGGATGGCAGAGCTGTGCCCGCCAACACCTCCACTCGAACCCGGGACGGGTCCACGCCCATCCGAGTTGCCGTGGCAGTAACGATGTTGGACACTAGAGCATTCTGCAGCTCAGGGTTCGACTGCACCTGGTTGTAGTCGATGTTCGAAGTCATACTCACGGAGAGAACTCGGCGCTGCTCGGTCTCCCACGTCTGCGCAGTCGCCAGGGTGGCCACCGGCAGGCTCACGGCGCTGTAGGGGCTCGAGGACAAGGAGTCGGCGCAGTTGGTCTTGACCCGGAAGACGTACTCTGTTCCTGGGTGTTGCTTTAAAGCCCTCTGAAAATTATTTATGAATAGGTTCCCTTAAAAAGGGAAAGAAGGGAAATTTAACTTTATCCCAACCCTAAACCCTAAACCCTAAACCCTAAACCCTAAACCCTAAACCCTAAACCCTAAACCCGAAACCCTAAACCCTAAACCCTAAACCCTAAACCCTAAACCCTAAACCCTAAGCCCAGGCTCCGGAGGTCAGGGCCTCCGCCGTGCAGGTGTAGGTGTTCAGCATCGTCAAGCCGGTGCAGCCCTCTGGCTGGAACCACTCCTTTTACTTCTCCCAAGAACCGAAGGGGAAAAAAAAAGAACCGAAGGGTTAAAAAAGGTTAAACTGTACTATTCCTAGTAAATAAATAAGGAAACCCAAAAAGGTTTAAAGTTATAACCTCACTATTCCTGCTTAATAAGGAAAGCCCAAAAAAAATTTAAAGCTCAACTGAAGGCGAAGCGAGACTCCCCTCCCGACGGCTGCCCCTCGACGACGGTCTCGCTGAACTCGCCTATAGTTCGTGGTTGGGATCATATTAAAAGTTTAAAATATTTATATATTCCTATTGAGTTGAAGTACCTTTAAAAATGTAAATTTATAGTCCCTTTGGGGCTTTAAATTCAAATTCCCTACTGGGTTTAGGTACCTTGAAAATGTCAAATGTTGACCAACTATGACGAAGTCACAGTCGTTGAGGGTGCCCGTCTCCCAGGAGACAAGCAACCTCGACATGCTCGCGATACGCTTGTTGAGGGTCCAGGGTTTAGGGTTTCGGCGGTTTAGGGTTTAGGGTTTAGGGTTTAGGGTTTGGGGCTTAGGGCTTAGGGTTTAGGGTTTAAGAGCTCAGGGTTTAGGGTTTAGGGTTTAGGGTTTAGGTTTTAGGGCTTCGGGAAGGGCAGTTCTCATGCAAAGGGAAGGGCTCCGGCGATGCAGGTCCTGACTGAATGGGGATCTAAGTGGCTCGCGCGCACTTGCACTTCCCACGAGTTAGGGTTTAGGGTTTAGGGTTTAGGGTTTAGGGTTTAGGGTTTAGGGTTTAGGGTTTAGGGTTTAGGGTTTAGGGTTTAGGGTTTAGGGTTTAGGGTTTAGGGTTTAAGGTTTAGGGTTTAGGGTTTTATGGTTTAGGGTTTAGGGTTTAGGGTTTAGGGTTTAGGGTTTAGGGTTTAGGGTTTAGGGTTTAGGGTTTAGGGTTTAGGGTTTAGGGTTTAGGGTTTAGGGTTTAGGGTTTAGGGTTTAGGGTTTAGGGTTCAGGGTTTAGGGTTTAGGGTTTAGGGTGTCTCTATGGCTAGCAAGTCTGGAGATCTGCGCACGTCTGAAGGGGAAAAAACCCTCAACACCTACACCCCCAAAACCTAAACACCCAACACAAGGAAAGCACTACGAAACCCTTTCCAGGACCCCGGGCCCAGTCGAGCTCGGAACACGTGAACGGACCGACCTGGCGTGCTCTGGGCTTTCCGAAGGCTTCGGGTCCTACACTCTAAAACCTTAAACCCTGTTGAATTTACGGTTTTGGGTTTCAGGGCTTTACAGGGCTTACGGTTGTACTGTACTAGGGAGGCTGGTACGAGAAATGCCACGTTTATGCTTGCACTTTCGGGGGTGCTCGCGGTGACCAAACCCTCTTGGACCCCCCCAGAAGAAACAGGATATAGGAGCCCAAGAGAGTGCCATAGGCAACCGCGCATGTCATCAATCCTGGACAAGGGCCTCTCCCAAACCCTAAACCCTAAACCCTAAACCCTAAACCCTAAACCCTAAACCCTCAACCCTAAACCCTAAACCCCAAACCCGAAACCCTAAACCCGAAACCATGCCAGAGCGACGAGGGAGCCACTGCTGGCATCGGAAGTGTCATGGCTGCTTCAGAGATCCTGAACTTTCAACCCTAAGCCTATAAGCCCTAAGCCCTCAGCCCTCAGCCCTCAGCCCTAAGCCCTAAGCCCTAAACCCTAAACCCTGTAACGAAGTAGGTTTAGGGTTTTTAAGGTAGGGCTTGGAGGGATGTTTAGGGCTTCGGGATGGAGGCGGGATTATTCGGAGATAGAATCCTGTAATGATGATAATATTTTTGTGGCGGGGCAGAAAAAGAAAGGAAAAAGCCCCGCAAGAGCGCGGGAACAACCTTAACTTTGAGACAGGATTTTGGAAGAGGAAATCATGTGTAACCGCTAGAAAAGAATTGGGTGAAAGAGGTGAACGCCACTGTTAATACTTCTTGGGAGATCCTGTCTTGAGCTCGGGGTTATAATAAGCGGAAAGTTTAGGATTTAGGGTCTAGGGTTTAGTGTTTAGGGGAAAAGCAACAAAACGGGCACCTCCTTAAGAGGGGTCCAAGGATCTCACTCCAGAGACTCTGCGTCTCCTCCAAGACGCAGAGCACCCGGACCCTGAACTGATACGGCATGTCCTTGGGGTGGCGCCGGTCTTGAAAGGAGCAAAACACGCTGACTGCCGTAGGGGTCTTTAGGGGCTCTTAGGGGTTGAAGGTTCAGGGTGAACTTCGTTTAGGTGGCCGTGAATTTCTGGGTAGAAATAAGGAACAGCAAGAAATGTGAGTGTCCCTTGCTATTGATGTTCCTTGACAGCAACCGAGCGTCGCTGGCAAGCTGAGTGGCCGTGCAGCTTTCCATGTTCACGTTCACAAGCATCGTGCAACCAGCCGGCTCGACCCACCCTCCGGCGGAGCCCTGTGCCATGACCTCATACCTTGGAGAGGAAATATGAGCCCTAAAAAGGGCTTTTTTGTTGGCTCCTGTTACCTTAATAGGAATTGTAGGTAGTGTTCGGGCGAGCTCATATTGCCTTAGTAGGAATTAGATAGTCTTAGAGTGTATGACCCCCCCCATTTTGGGCTGGATTTTGCTCGTCAAGGTGCCTCTCAAAGCCGCTGCTGCAGTCGTTGAGGGCACCCCGGGTCCAAGACAACGACAGGCTCGAGGTCGTCCTTACTTCTCCAATAACCAAGGGGATCTCCAATAACCAAGGGGAAAAAAGGTTAAACTTTAATATTCCTACTTAAATAAGGAAACCCAAACAGTTTAAAGTTCAACTGAAGGCGAAGTGAGCGTCGCTGAGCCCGCGGTCACTTGGGTTGGCTGGGCTGCGCGCACGGCGACCCGGTGGTCGACCAGCGGCATGTACCTTGAGGACCAAAGATATGAACCCCAAAACTTGGGGGTCATCTACCCTGAATCCTACCTTTAACCCCTAAACCCGAAACCCGAAACCCTAAACCCTAAACCCTTTGAGGGTTCATCTTTAGCTCCCCCCAAGGTACAGGCCCGTGGTCTGCAAGCCCAGGACGTTCCAGGCATGCACCACGAAGCCCGCGGCATTGGAGGGGATGCTGGTGGACGGAGGCACGTTGAAGGTCGCATACAGGCCACCGCTCACCTGGGGGTTTAGGGTTTAGGGTTTAGGGCTTAGGGACTAGGGATTAGGGTTTAGGGTTTAGGGTTTAGGGTTTAGGGTTTAGGGTTTAGGGTGTAGGGCCGGAAATTAGGGGTATATTTTTCTCTGGGGTCCTTATTAGAAGGGAATCCTACTATTTGGGGGTCCATATAAAAGGGATCCTTCATGTTCGTAAACCTCCACCTCAAAGCTGTCCCAAACGCTCCCTTGGCAATCTCCGGTGCAGTCGGCGCCGATTCGGATTGCTTTGGTCTCGTCGGTGCTTGGAATGCTCTGCACTATCTCCTGGCATCCTTGGTTATCGGCAAAGGTCACCGAACTTGCCAGCACCGTGATGGTCACCTCGAACCAGGTGCCCAAGGTGCACGGCACCGAGTAGTGCTGGCCATCAGGGGACACCAAGATCTTCCTTGGGGACCAAATGAACCCTAAAATTTGGGTCAGATAAACCCCTAGACTACCTAAAACTCCTAAAAAAATACTATAATTCCTATATACCACCTATAATTCCTTATCAAGACAATATGAACCCTAAACCCTTCTAGGGCCCATATTTCGCCCCCAAGGTTCTGGGAGCCCAGCATCATGGCGCGCAGCCCGCCCGAGCCGAACAAGCTCACGGAGTCGCCACCGACCTGGATCACCATGTGGGCCAAGGCCCCCGCCGTCTTCCGCACCTTCGCCTTCATGGTGAACCCTATACAGGGCCCTTTCTAAGGGGTTATGGGGTATAAGAGCAACCTTATCCTAGGAGCCCAGGAACCATGTTACAATAAGGGCACCTCTTTTTTTTTGGGGGGGGTTGGTTATTTTCTAAGGGAACCAGAACCCAAAAAGAAAAGGGTAAAGGGTACCACTGGGCTGCCAAGCCTTCATGGTGAAGGGCGGCGCAAAGCGCCGTGCCATGGTCAGGTGTGAGGTGTCATACTGGCCCGAGAAGATGGCCGCGCCGCTTGACACTGACCAGCTTTCCCCAGCGATGTCGGCGTCTGGAGGGAACCAGAAGGAGTTGTCGAAGAATGCGAAGTTGTCCTGAAGCACGTTTCCGGTATCCAGAGTCGCGAGTGGCGTCTCACTTGTCCGGAGCTGCGTCGAGTCTGCCCAGAAGATGTGATACTGCGAGAAGGTGTCCTCTTGCTCGGGGGTTGCTCTTGTAATTGTGAGGGCCCCTGCGATGACATCCCGCCGGGCATCCGTGTCTTCGAACTCGATGCCTCCGGCACCAACCGTCGGTGCAGACCCGAATCGGTGCAGGGTGAAAATCACCGGTACCAGGCGTGAGTAGAGAATGTCATTCACCTGCTTCCAGATCCTCAAAGCCACTCGATACTCCCCCTCCTCCAGCCTCGCATTGCCCAACTCCAGGTCTACGCTGGCGGAGCCCCCAGCAGGCACGGTGATACCTTGAGGACCACATAACCGTAAAATTGGGGTCATATATCCTATCCTACTATAATCCTACTATAATCCCTATGATTCAGGTATATATGGAGCTACAAACCCTTCACATACCCTGTACTACCAATCATCCCTATTAAGGTCATGTGGAGCCATAGACCCTTGTAGGGTTCATATTTCGTCCCCAAGATGCTTCCAGAAGCCGCAGGGCCCGTCACGCGCGCCCAGGCGTACTGCCCAGCCATCTGCCTTGGGTACCAGAAATGAGCCCTGAAATTGGGGGTCACCTACCCTATGCTACTATAATTCTACTTAAGGTATATTATCCTATACTACTATAATTCTAGTTAAGGTATATGAATCATACGAAGATATCTCTACTTTTGGGGTCATACACCCTATACTTCCTTTAATTCCTGTCAAGGTAGATATGGAGCCATAAACCCTAAACCCCAAACCCTAAACCCCTTTAGGGTTCATATTTCGTCCCCAAGGTGCAAGGCGGCGTGGGCGTTGAGCAGCTTCCCCGTCGACACCTTCGCCTCGAATTTGGCGTAGCCTTGCGGTTTGGTTTCGGGTTTCGGGTTTCGGGTTTCGGGTTTCGGGTTTCGGGTTTCGGGTTTCGGGTTTCGGGTTTAGGGTTTCGGGTTTCGGGTTAAGGGTTTAGGGTTTAGGGTTTAGGGCCTATGTAATCCCTTAAAGGGGGGATATAGGGTACCTCATTCCCTCATTCCCCACTTAAACCAATAGTAAGTAGCTCACGCCAGACGTCAGGATCAGATTCCGGAGCTCCGCGTAGGTGAGGGTGTCCACGTAATCCAAGACCAGGGCTGCCACGCCCGAGACGTGTGGCGTGGCCATGGACGTGCCTGACAAGAACTCGTACCTTGGGTGACGAAAGAATTGATCCCTAAAAGGGTTCATGGTCCATATTACCTTTTTATAGGGACTTCTAGTACAATACCATAATAGGGGGCTTATAGTAGAACAGGGTCTAGGACCCCTATTTTGGGGTTCATTTGGTCCCCAAGGTGCTGGTTGTTGGGGTAGGTGCTGTAGATTCGGGACCCGGGAGCTGCGATGTGAACCACCTCCGTGCCCCAGTTCCTTGCTGTTGACTTGTCGGGAAATTGGGAATGAAGTACCCTACATCACTCTCTCTCTCTATATGTATATATGTAGATGTATATATATATATATATACCCTCTATAAGGGATTATATAGCGTACCTCATTCCCTCATTCCCTACTATAACCAACAGTAAGGTTCGAGAAGGAGGAGATGTCGTTGGCGCTGTCTGTAGACGCCACGCAGATCATGTTTGGCCGGTTGTAGTTGCAGGGATATGTTGCGGTGATCTCGTTGTCCCTCCCGTCGTTGCCCGCCGCGACGATGAAGAGGTGGTTATACGTGGCGGCTTCATCGATGGCATCTACCAGGGCCTTGGGGAGCAAATGAAGCCCAAAATTTAAAATTGGGGTCATGTACCCTACACTACTAAAATCCATTTTAAGGTATATCTATTAAGGTACATGAGCCATAAACCCTTTTAGGGCTCATTTCGTCCCCAAGGAGCCTGCGAGTAGCCTCCCCCGCCCCAGGAGTTGGAACTGATCTGCGCGCCCATCATGACGGCATAGTCTAAGGCGCGGATGGCGTCACCAGTGCTGCCACCTGGCGGGTTTTCCGAAAGTAGGGGTCCCTTTTTGGGGGTTCCTATAGAAAGGATTATATACTATTTTGGGGAGAATTAAAGGGGTACCCTTTTGGGGGTTCCTACAGTAATACTACTTCGGGGATATTAAGGGTTTTCCCCCCTTTCTTTGGAAACCCCCAGACCTGATGCTCCCAGGAACTTCAGCGCCATGATCTGGGGCTTCCAGGAGACCCCGGCAACTCCGATGGAATTCCCTGCCTCTGCTCCTGAGGTGCTGAGTTCATGAGCCACCCCAAAAGTGCACACTTTCATTTCTAGAGGGGATTATTATGGTATCCCTAAACCCTAAACCCTAAACCCTAAACCCTAAACCCCATAAACCCTATAAACCCCTTAATCCTGCAGTGTAAAAAGTGTACTCATTCAGCTACTAAGGCTCCGATAGTGCCTGCGCAGTGTGTTCCATGGCCGTTTGAGTCCATAGGGTCTCCACTGTCACCGTAAAAGTCGTAGCCGTACCTTGGGGACCAAATATGAACCCTAAAAGGGTTTAGGGGTCACATTACCTTAGTAGGAATTATAGTAGTATAGGGGTATATGACCCCAATTTTAGGGTTCATGTATTTTAATAGGAATTATAGTAGTGTAGGGTTCATTTGGTCCCCAAGGTACACGTCATCTACGAACCCATTTCCATCGTTGTCGATGCCATCACCTGCGATCTCACCAGGATTCACCCACATCTGGTTGCGGAGGTCTTCGTGGTTGTAGTCCACGCCTGCCGTTGCTTTCACCCACGCAGCATGAGGCAACAAGACATCTCGCTGTGTGCAAGAAATTTGCTATACCTAGTGGAAAGATCGGGCTCATGCCTGCACATTGTGTCTATGTCCTGCGTATTGGCGCTGCGCAGTGTGCACGGCGTGCATTGTGCATTGTACAGTGTGCATTGTGCATTGTGCATTGTTGTGTTGCGGTGCTGCTGGCTGGTACTGGTGCTGGTGCTGGTGCTGGTGCTTGTGCTGGTGCTGGTGCTTGTGCTCGAGCTTGTGCTTGTGCTTGTGGGCGCGCGTGTGCGCCTGTGCGCGTGTACGTGTGGGTGTGTGTTTATGTGCTTGCTTGTCTTGGTGTCGAACTTACGCGTGCTGTGCAGTAACAGCAACACCTTCCAGAATTGACTGGAGACGGCGGAAGTGCACGGAAAAGTCGCTACCTTTCACAACTAGTACCGCAACCTGGGTCTCACGAGCTGTCACAAGCTCCAACGACGTAGTCTCAGAGTGGTTTGCTCTGAGCAGGCCTGTGTCGAGGACGGCGATGATCACGCGGCCATTGGTTCCTTGATGGATGGCCCAAGCCTCTGGGGCATCGATGTCCACATCGTTGTCCTGATGGAGGCCCCAGAGATCCTCGAAGCTCACGTCGTTGGGGTGCCCTTGGGCAGCGTCGCGGCAGGTGCTGCAAGAATCGGTGCGGCGGTGCATCCGCCCCTTCAGCTTGCCCCCGGCTTCCGGCTGAGGCTTCGGAGGAGGGAAGAGCATGTCATCCATTTTGGGCTTGCCTAGTGCAAACCAGGTGAGGTCCTCTTCCACAAACTGCACGACCGGGTCGTTCTCGAGGTCCACGAACATCTGGCAGTATTGCTTTGTGGAGGCATTCTTCATCTCCGCAAATGCGATGCCACCTAGGCGATCGAATGTAGTGATCTTCACTCCATGTTTGGTCTCCACACCCTTCGCATGCAATCGCCTTGCCCTTGCATCCAGTTGCTTGGCCTTCTTCATCTTGTACAGCAATCGCTTCTTTCCCGGTACCGGGAGATCGGACACCGTCTCGCAGACGGATGGAAGGATGTAGCCTGCTCCTGCATTGCCTGAGCCCGTGCTCGGGGTGCTGGTAAGGCTGGCAGGGAGGGCCCCTTGGGCCGAGTCGTCCTCGAAGACCAGGCCCACCTGCAAGGTGATGTCCTCAGAGCCATCGCTGGTGATCGTGACCACGCTGGATACCGTTGAGCCCGGCGTAGCCACCAAGTTGAGGCTAGAGGGATCCAGGGACAAGCCCGAATTATCGAGCACCGGGGTCCCCACACCCATTGCAGCCGCACCTCCTGAGCCCACAGCCAATGCAACGAGGTGAGAGGCGGAGGAGTGGATGGGCACACTGGCAATGGAGGCAGTGACAAGCGCACCCGCGGAGGCGTTCAGCACTGCTTGCCCAATGGCCGACGAACCGGGTATGGGGTGGCTGGCATTCCTGCCCCAGTAGATGTCATAGGCCAACACCCCGACTTCTACCGCAGCCCTTCGCACATCGCAGAAGCCGCTGAAGACGCCGATGCTGGGGTTCGTGTCTTGACACTGAACGGACACGGCGATCGCGGACGGGGGGTGGTAGTCAACCAATGGCGCCGTGATTCCTGTAGCCATCTCGCCGCCCGCCGAAGCGGTCAGGACCAGCAAGCTGTCGGCTGTGTCCGGGATGGAGGTGCCTCTAGGGACGAAACAAACCCGAAAAGTTCTTATGGCTCCAGAAACCTCAATCCGAAAAAAGGTAGCAATTTCAAAGGGTTATGGCTCATACTACCTTTATAGGAATCATAGTAGTACAGGGTATATGACCCTAAACCCTAAACCCTAAACCCTAAACCCTACACCCTAAACCCTACACCCTAAACCCGCCCAACACTTTAAGGTTCCTTGCATCCCAAGGAGGTGCCTCTGGGCACCTCCACACTCAGGGAGTCGCTGGCGCCAGACTCCAGGCGGAAGATCCAGCCGCCCGTGGTCACCTTACTGCTGGCTAGTAGGGAATGACGGTTTAGGGTTTCGGGTTTAGGGTTCAGGCTTCAGGGTTTAGGGTTTAGGGTTTAGGGTTTAGGGTTAGGGTTTAGGGTTTAGGGTTTAGGGTACCCCATTATAATCCCTTAAAGGGTGTATATATATATATATATATAGATATATATATATATATAGGGGGGATATGGGGTACCTCATTTTCCCTGATTCCCTACCAACCAACAGCAAGGCACTGAGCCGTCCGATCGCCAGACGATCTCATGGGTTCCTGCGGGGATGTCGATGTCGCCGGGCATGCTGTTGCCCGAGTAGGCCGTTCCAAGGATAGTCAAGAAGTCGTAGCCCGCCTCGAGAGGTTGAACAAGGACGACATCTTTAAAAAATGAACTCAGCTGTTCTAGGCCGAAAAAAGGGGTCAAGTCCGAGACATACTGTAACTGACATCAGCTTGGAATGATGGCCACAGGCCCCACCTCGGTGGTGAAGAAGGTAAACCTTGGCTGACTTCCGAACCCCCCCTAAGAGTTTAACTTCTAGGCTCCTTACTGTACTTTCTACCAAAACCTAAACCCTAAACCCTAAACCCTAAGTCCTAAGAGCCAGACAGAAGAATGCCAAGAAGCTTGATCATGCCTGGCCCTGTCACCGCGATGCTGGCTTGCTCATTGTTGTCGTAGCTGGTGCCTCGGGAGACCTTGGGGACGAAAGATGAACCCTAAAAGGGTTTGTGGCTCAAATTGCCTTGATTGGGATTATAGTAGTATAGGGCATATGACCCCACAATTTTAGTGTTCATGTGCCTGAATAGGAACTCGGAAGTATAGTCGTATAGGGTATGTGACCCCAAGTCCAGGGTTCATGTGGTCCCTAAGGTACCTCGTAGGCGATGCCACCGGCAACCGACCGGATGTCGATCTGCGTGCAGCTGGTGCCGCTGCAGGACGGCCGGGCCTCGAACATGGCGGGGTTTAGGGGTTCAGGGTTTAGGGTTTAGGGTTTAGGGTTTAGGGTTTTAGGGTTTAGGGTTCAGGGTTCAGGGTTTAGGGTTTAGGGTTTAGGGTTTAGGGTTTAGGGTTTTAGGGTTTCGGGTTTAGGGTTGGGCCGGCCAGCCATGTTGCGGCAGTTTCTGCTGTACCGAGTCCGCTAGTCAGAAACCCACGTTAGCCCATTGCTCCTTGAGCCCACGACGCTCTACGTAAACCACGTGTCATTTCGGCCGCCAGAGGTTGCCCCAAAACCCGGCTTAGGATTTCAAAGATGATCACCCTGCTGTAAACCCTAAACCCTAAACCCTAAACCCTAAACCCTAAACCCTAAACCCTAAACCCTAAACCCTAAACCCTAAACCCTAAACCGCCTAAACCCTAAGACCCTAAGACCCTAAGACCCTAAGACCCTAAGACCCTAAGACCCTAAGACCCTAAGACCCTAAGACCCTAAGACCCTAAGACCCTAAGACCCTAAGACCCTAAGACCCTAAGACCCGAAGATCAGGACCCCTTGCCGAGGCACTGCCAGTGTGGGTGCAGGCACCGAGCCGATAAAGTCAAGCTTCTGGGTGCCCAAGGAGAAGTAGAGGTTGTAGAAGTCCACAGAGGACCTTGGGCACGAAACAGGAGCCCTAAATTGGTTTATGACTCATATGCCCTTATAGGAACTATAGTATAGGGGAACCTTGGGGACGAAATATGAATCCCTAAAGGGGTTTATGGCTCATAGTGCCTTGATGGGAATTATAGTAGTATAGGGTATCTGACCCTAATTTTAGGGTTCATGTGGTCCCCAAGGGACTCGTCCGCGGCGCGGCCGATGTAAGCCATGCCTGCCACGACCCCTTCGCCCTCGTCGACATCCACAAACGCGATGGACGTCGCGGCATCTTCCGCCGGCTCGTAGTCCACGACTTCTACGCTGGCAGCTGTACCTGAGGTTGCAGCTTGTTGCAGGTTCTTGGCTAGATTCTGCTAGATACCCCAGACTCCCCAGAGGTACGCTGGACGACACCGGACTCCAAATTCGTATCAAGGCCCAATCGGATGCTGAGGGCCCCGCGCGACTCTCCGCTGCTGGAGGAGGCAAACACGAGGAGGGTGGTGGCGTTGACCGGCAGGGAGGTTCCGCTGGCAATGGTGACCGTGACGTTGGTTCCCGCTGTTGTGGCCGGTACGGCTGCGACCATGGCGACACCTGGCAGTCGATGGGTGGAGTTGGCGCCCCAGTAGACGTGGTAGGCCTCAAGGCCGCTGTGGTTGCGGGACTGGAGGATGATGAGGTCACCTCCCACAAGCCCCGCGGCGGAGTCAGAGTCCTGGAACCACAGAGCCTGGGGTATCTGGGAGGGCGGGGCGAAATCCGACACCGCGGTCGCTGCACAGGCCCCCCGATATTCGGAGCCCTCGCTCACGGAGAAGACCATCATCTCAGTGGCCGAGCTGGGCAGGAAGGTGCCGTAAGGCAGCCTTGGTATAGCCCAGCAACCAAGTTCTGAGAGGGGCACCCCCCTTTTTTCGTTGGATTGGTTTCCTGATAAGGGAACCTTAAACCCCCCAAAAAATGAGTATAAACATATGATCATAAGGGCACCTTTGTCTAATTGGTTTTATTTTTTTGGGGGGGTTGGTTATTAAGGGAACCTTGAACCCCCAAGAAAAAACGAAAATCGAAAATCCTGAACCCTAAACCCTAGACCCTAGACCCTAGACCTAAACCCTAAACCCTAAACCCTAAACCGTAAACCCTAAACCCTAAACTCTAAACTCTAAACCCTGAACCCCAAGTGCTCAACCCTAAACCCTAAACCCTAAGCCCAAATAAAAGTGTACCTTTTGGGCTACCAGGGAGCTCGTAGGTGGCGTCCCCGAAGTTACCCCGGGACTCATAGGTGAAGACCCAGCCGGCCCCAGTCACGCTGAAGTCCGAGAACCAATCGACCTTTTGGGGTTTGGGGTTTAGGATTTAGGGTTCAGGGTTTAGGGTTTAGAGTTTAGGGTTTAGGGTTTAGGGTGTAGGGTGTTGGGTTAGTTTAGGCCTGAAAAATGCTGAAACCCAGTCCCTGGGTCTCATTGAAGGCTCCGATGCAAGTAATAGATTCCATTAGGGTTTAAGGACCCTAAACCCTCAACCCCCTATAATCCCTAACATCAGCCCTATAAACCCCATGACATTCTATAAAATCCTATAAACCGCATAAACCCTTTAAACCCTCGAAACCCTATAAATCCTTTTATAAACCCTATAAAACCTATAAACCCTACGCCCTACACCCTAAACCATTCCACGAGGGGTTAGGGGCCAAGATCAGAGCTCAGAACCCCAAAACCCTATACCCTAAACCCTAAACCCTAAACCCACCTGCTTCTGGCCGGCGCCGAGCTGAACATCCGCTGGCACGCTGCTGCCGGAAAGCGCCATTCCGTCGATGGTCAGGGTGTCGTAGCCTAGGGGTTTAGGGTTCAGGGTTTAGGGCTTAGGGTTTAGGGTTTAGGGCTTAGGGTTTCGGGTTTCGGGTTCTAAACGGGCTAATTTAAGGAAGTCATAAGGGGGGTTAAGCCAGTTAAGCCAAGCAACCCTGGTTTAGGGTCTAGAGTTTCGGGTTTAATGCTGTTAGAAGGCCGCCAGGATAACCCTGAATCTGAACTAGACCCGTTTCCGGAAGTTTCCGGAAGTTTGCCTTACAAAAAGCAAACAGGCGCCAGTTGGCTTCCTAGCAACCGCCTTCGGTTCCAAACCGGGAGAAGCGGATGACGCCCGGGCCTTCGAGGTACAGGCTCGCCCGCTCATCGTTGCGGTAGCCGTCCATGCCACCTCGCGGACTGAACGGTCCCCCGAGTTTGGGCATCGCAGACCCCGTGCTACCCTTTATCCTGAGCACAAAGTTGCCCTAAACCCTAAACCCTAAACCCTAAACCCTAAACCCTAAACCCGAAACCCTGAACCCCAAGGCACGCGACACCACGTAGACTCCGACATCCTCCTGAAGCACGTTGATGTCACTGCAGGCATTTCCTTTCTTCTCCAATAACCAAGGGGAAAAAAGGGTTTAGGGTTTAGGGCTTAGGAATTAGGGTTTAGGGTTTAGGGTTCAACAAGTTTAAAGTTCAACTGAAGGCGAAGTGAGTTTCCCGTGAAGCAGTACGGGGCGATGCTGGTGCGCGCGACGGTCACGCCTCGGTATGCCCTTCAAACCCGCTGCAAAATCGAAAAACCTTGATGAATAGTATCACTCTTGAACTCAAATGAGGGCAAACCCTAAACCCAAAATACATCTTCAAGCCCTAAACCCAAAACCCAAAACCCAAAACCCAAAACCCTAAACCCTAAACCCTAAACCCTAAACCCAACGAAAAAAAATATCAAACATTCCAAGGGCCTGCCTAGACGCTGGCAATCTGGCCCCCCAGAGTGGTGCAAGAGCCCGTGCTCCAATAGAGGTTGTAGGCGGTGACTCCTGGAGCTCATTTCTACGGCTTAGGGTTTAGGGTTTCGGGTTTAGGGTTTAGGGTTGAGGGTTGAGGGTTTGAGGGTTTGAGGGTTTGAGGGTTTGAGGGTTTGAGGGTTTGAGGGTTTGAGGGTTTGAGGGTTTAGGCTGACTCCTGGAGCCCATTTCTACATGATTTCTAAGGGTTGTTGCTTGGGCCCTGACAAGGGGACCCCTTACATAACCCTAAACCCTAAACCCTAAACCCTAAACCGTATAAACCCCTTGTGTACCCTATACATCCCAAGGGCCCATGCATCATGAACCAGGAGACCACATTACGGAACCCTCACGGTTTAGGGTTTAGGGTTTAGGGTTTAGGGTTTAGGGTTTAGGGTGTAGGGTTTAGGGTTTAGGGTGATGATCCATCCTATTTCAGCACCTCTTTCAATACTGGCCTGAGTGGCCCTGATATTGAGGGTGCCCGAAAGCGTGATTCAGGTAAAATCCTAAAACCCTAGAACCCTAAAACCCTAACACCCTAACACCCTAAACCCTAGCACCCTAACACCCTAACACCCTAACACCCTAACACCCTAACACCCTAACACCCTAACACCCTAACACCCTAACACCCTAACACCCTAACACCCTAACACCCTAACACCCTAAACCCTAACACCCTAACACCCTAAACCCTAAACCCTAAACCCTAAACCCTAAACCCGAAACCCTAAACCCTAAACCCTAAACCCCCCCCCCCCACCCCCCCCACCTGTCTGGCTGGCCGCCCTCTGGATGGTGACGGTTCCACCCACGGTCCCCTGTCCAGGATCTGCGTCCTTCGGGGCGCAAAGAAAAAACACCTAAACATAAGGTTTAGGGTTTAGGGTTTGGGGTTTGGGGTTTGGGGTTTAGGGTTTGGGGTTTGGGTTTTAGGGTTTAGGGTTTGGGGTTTGGGGTTTGGGGTTTGGGGTTTGGGGTTTGGGGTTTGGGGCTTGGGGCTTGGGGCTTGGGGTTTAGGGCAGGGTTTAATAACTAGGGTTTAGGGCTACCATAAACATAAGGATTCTACAAACATGGCTTTGCAGAATCCCCCCCCTTAGTAGCCCAGTAACCATATTATCATCAGGGCACCCTTTTCTTGGTTGGCTACTGTTACAAGGCAACCCAGAACCCCAAAAAGGGTAAAGGGTACCACTGGGCTACCAAGCCCCAACCCTAAACCCTAAACCTTAAACCCTAAACCCTTATCCCCCCCAAGGCTTTTTGGCCCCCTGCGGCCTGGAAGGCGAGACCCCCAGGCGCGCGGGAATGGTCCACATCCACAATGGCCACCGCCGCGCTGTTGCTGCCTTTTAAGGGGTATAAGAGGGTTTAGGGTTTAGGGTTTAGGGTTTAGGGTTTAGGGTTTAGGGTTTAGGTTTAGGTTTAGGGTTTGGGGTTTAGGGTTTAGGGACCCCTCGAAGAAACCCCTTAATCTTATTCCCTCCTTATATATACCTTATATATTCCCTGTGTGCCGAAGTAGCCCCCAAAGAACCCCTAAGGTCCCTTGTAAGGTTGCTGCCTTGGCCGCTAGGGCCCACCACGAATGCCAGGAAGTGCGAAGCACCCGAGGGCTGTGGCGTGTTTGCCGGCACTGGGATTTCAAGGCTTCCAGAGCCTTTTGGCACCTGCCGGTTTGTTCGACATTTTAGAACTTTTGGTGGGTGAATTTTTTCCGGGATGCTTCTATACGAACAGGACCTATAAGTGATCCCTATAGCCAACACACCTGCGCAAAGATCTCAAGGACAGTCTGGTCGGAGGAACCCCAGTAGACAGCGTAGTGGGTGACATTGGTCTCGTCTGCCGCTCGTCCAATCACGATCGTGCCCCCCAGCTCCCCCGGAGAAGGGTCCGTGTCAGTGAAGGAAATGGACGCGGGCGCCAAAGAAGTAGGAGCAAAGTCTACCACGGGAACCTTGAGGACCCAACGAACCGTAAAATTGGGGTCATATACCCTATACTACTATAATCCCAATGTCTATGAACCCGAAGATTGAGGTCATATACCCTCTACTGCTACAATCCCTATTTAAGGTACATATGGAGCCAAAAACCCCTTAAAATTGGGGTCATATACCCTATACGACTAATAATTCCTATTAAAGTAATATGAGCTAAACCCTAAACCCTAAACCCTAAACCCTAAACCCTAAACCCTAAACCCTACACCCTACACCCCACACCCTAAACCCTAAACCCTAAACCCTAAACCCTAAACCCTAAACCCTAAACCCTAAACCCTAACCCTAAACCCTAACCCTAAACCCTAAACCCTTTTCGGGTTCACTTATAGGGCCCAAGGAACGCTGATCCCGGTGCTCATCTCCGCCCCGTGCTTGGAGGAGAAGACAAGCAGATGCGTCGCACCGGCTGGGATGGCCTGTTTAGGGTTTAGGGTTCAGGGTTTAGGGTTTAGGGATTAGGGCTTAGGGTTTCAAGGATGGCCTGGGCCGTGAGGTTGTAGGTCACATTGCCCCCACCTCCGGTCTGGGGAGTCAAGCCTGGCGAGGCGCGAGGGAGCTACCTTGAGGGCCTGCCCGCCATGGTTTAGGGTTTAAGGTTTGGGGTTTGGGGTTTAGGGTTTAGTGTTTAGGGTTGGGTTTAGGGTGTATAGGGTATGGGGCTCCTAAGAGGCCTCCATTAATGGCGTAGTTGTCCAGTACCTAGGAGAACTGAAGGTTAACCTTTGGGATTCTGAGGGGAACCCCAAAAAGGTTAAAGCGCGACGTGTGCACAGCAAGTCCCCGGCGTCGAGCGTGAGACATGTTACCTACTCTACTACAAAGATGGATATACAGAGGCGTCGGTGTTGCAGTCCGCTCTTAAAAAATCCAGGGGCTTCGACTTCAGCGTGGGCCATCAGAAAGCCCACGCGGGTTTTGGGTGTAGGTTGGGATGTTCTACTACCATGCAGCTCCTTGATAGGGAGTATCATAGAGGGTACTACAATCCCTGTTAAGGACGCTTAGTATACGGGGGATTTAGGACTTTAGGGCGAGCACGACATGTGTTCCGAACCTGGCGACCATGCTCCCCCTAAACTCAATTGAGGCTTGCAATACCTATAGGCCTAGAAGCCCCACCTTAAGAACCCAAAACCTCATTTCTTTTGTAGGTTCTCATGATAAAGCCCCTTATAGGATTCTTGGGCGACCCACAAAGCAGTAGGTTGCTGTGTTCTGAAGGTATAAACCCCAAACCCCAAGCCCCGGGCGGGCCTGTGTGGGTCTCGATCCAGCCCAGAATCCAGGTGATACGCGACCAGACGCCAGGATAGTCGGCGTCTGCGCAGCCATAGCCCCAAGAGGTTGCGCCGTGAAGCACGTACCTGCCTCAGCTCGTGTGTCGTACATTCTTATGGAGGGTTTAGGGCAGCAGCTCGGCGTCAGTGGCACAGCTTCACGCAGACGCGCGGAAATTGCAAGCAAGGCGCCGTCCCCGGTGGGGCAGACAAGGGGCCCGCCGCTGTCTCCCTGGCACGCGTCGACGATTCCTCCGGAGGCTGTGCCCTGAGCGCCTTGCTAGCCCAGTAACTATCTTGTGATTAGGGCACCCTCTGTTGTTTTGCCTTTTTTTTCGGGAAACCCATAAACACAAAAAGAGGGTAAAGGGTACCACTGGGCTACCAATCACCCTAAACCCTAAACCCTAAACCCTAAACCCTAAACCCTAAACCTAAACCCTAAACCTAAACCCTAAACCCTAAACCCAAGGCGCAGAGCATGTCGTCGAGGATTTGCCCAGCGTAGCGGGCATTGCACTCCGAGTTGGTCAGAGCCAGCACCATACCTTGCTTGGAGGTTCATGGTACTTACTAACCAATTATAACTGTACTTATAACCCTACTTACAATCCCCCTAAAGGGCCTTATAGGGGTTATCCCCATTATAAGTAGGGTGATAAGCCCAGTTATAAGTGGTTATTAAGTCCCACAGGAAGCCCCAGACATCCTAAAACGGTCTAGTTGTGGCCCCATGTCCCTCGACAGTCGTATAGCGGCGAATAGCGGTACATGAACCCTAAACCCTAAACCCTAAACCCTAAACCCTGAACCCTAAACCCTAAACCCTAAACCCTAAACCCTAAACCCAAGGCACCTTCCTGGAGGATGGAAGGCGATGAGCCACCGCTGGCCAGGGTTCCCCAGCCCGTGATGAAGCACTCTTGGCCTGCTGGCACCTCGAGGACCAAATAGGAACCCTAGGGTTTAGGGTTCAGGGTTTGGGGTTTAGGGTTTAGGGTTTCGGGTTTAGGGGACGCTATACTACTATAATCCCTATTCAGGCAATATAAACTTAATATAAACCCTATATTGGGGTCATAGACCTTAAACCACTATAATTCTTGTTGCAGGGTAACATGGAGCCATAAGCCCTTTTAGGGTTCCCTTCACGGCCCCAAGGCACTTCCGCATCAGGCAAGCAGGCGGACGCCGCGCAGGCCGTCGTATCCACTTCAGCCTCGAGCTCGATGAGTGCGAAGTCGTGGGTCATGGTGTTGGAGTTGTAGAGCTCGTGCCTTGGTTGCTCTTTAACCCCTTAATATGAAATTAGAGGAACCCTAAACCTTAGAAAGTGATGAAGTTGTAGTAAAGCCCCACCTAGGTGCGATATGACTCGCAGGACCTGGTGCGTCTCCTCGTTGGCATCTAAGTCCGAATCCTTGTCGAAGTCTCCCGTCACGACTTGAAAGCCGCCACCTCCCTCGACACAGTGCGCTGCCGTCATCACCCACTTTGGCGAGATCAACGTGCCGCCGCAGAAGTGCCAGCCTTGTGAGCGCAGGCTCACCTGCCACCTCCACTCACAGCGACTGGCATCTTGGCCGTTGACGATTTTGGGCCCATTGATGCCCTCTCGGGTGAAGCGCAAGGGTGTGTCATCCGGGCCCTTGACACCACAAGACCCTCTGGAAGTGCCGCTGGTGTTGGCAGCAATCTGTGCAATGGGGACGCCATCAAGCTTGACTGTTGCGGAGCTGCCCCAGTAGATGACATAGTGGGAGATCTGGCTCGGGTCTTCTGCAGGCTCCAGCGTGATGGTGCCACTCACCTGACCGGCCACGGGGTCCACATCTTGGAAGTAGATGCCTGTGGCAGGCTGGGAGGGCAACGCTGCGTCCTCCACTGCAAGGGACGCGCCAGTAGTGCTCTCACCTTCACTGTCATATGCTCGCACAAGCAGGTGGCTGGCCTCTGTAGGGATCGTCGCGTTCACGACTTGCACCGTGCAGGCTCCGGCCTGCGCCACGCACTCTCCAACCAGGGCGTTGTCCAGGGATCCGTGGCGTAGCACACTTCCCGGCACGGCGACGGTCGCGCCGCCCGTGTCGGGGCCGCTGTACGACAGCATGATGCCGGCATACGACTCCTGGTCGAAGTAGTCGACCTTCACGGCGTGCATGCCTGGGTAGAGGTAGGCGTCTCCACTTATCGCTTGCATGCCATGGACGCCGTCGTTGTCCACAACAAGCACGCCGTTCACGTAGAGCTTGCTGCCATCATCCTTAAGAGCCCTAAAATGCGGGGGGGGGGGGGGTCATGTTACCCTATACTACCTATAAATCCCTATTATAAGGTAGATATGGAGCCATAAACCCTTTTGGGGTTCGTTCGTTTTTTGCCCAAGGATCTGAGTTCAAGGTAAAGAGGTAGCTGCCACCGGAGCTGATCATGATGTACCCGGTCCATCGCGCGGCGAAGGCATCTGAAACCCCAACGCCCGGGAAGGCTTCATTGGTTTCTGGGTGATACAGCATGCTCTCCACTTGGACGAGGTCCGGCTGCATGGAGTCCAGGTACGGAATGGCATCGTAGTATGAGGTTGGCGACAAGTAGAAGTACTCAGCCAACAGCCCCGGAATCCCGCCAGCAATGGGGTGTGTGCTGTTGCGGCCCCAGTAGACCCGGAAGCCCGTCACGCTGGCGGCAGCTGAAATCGAGATGTTCCCTCCGATGACCCCGCTGCCGAGATCCTCGTCTGTGAAGCTGGCGCTGTGGATGGGGATGACGTTTGGGGCCAAGTCCTGGATCTCCAGTGCCACAGAGCCGCTGCTCTCCGTCAGGTTGTAGGCCTTGGTAGCCCAGCAAATGATATTATGCAATATGAGGGCACCCTTTTTCGGGGGTTGGTTAGGTTTCAAGGGAACCTTGAAACACAAAAAAATGAAAAAAGGGAAAAGGGCACCACTCGAGGCTGCCAAGAGGCTGTCTTCACGATGAAGTGCGTCCCAAGGAGAGCTTGGGGAGTGATCGGCAGCGCCAGGTCTTGCTGGCCCTCCGGCTTGGGGAGGCTGGCGATGAGACCCGGGCGGCCGTCCGAGAGCCCCTGGTAGGTGTAGATGAAGCTCCACCCATTGTTCGTGACGCTGAAGTCGGAGTTCCAAGTCGCTACATGCACGCCCTCCGGAAGGACGATGGTGTCGGAGGGCGTGGTGAACCCAGAGTAGAAGGTGTCCAGCAATTGGATCTTGTCGCAGCAGCGCTCCGTGTGCAGGTAGGTGAAGCGAACCTCTGCCGGTCCCACGAGGGTGATGGATGCGCTTTCGTAGTTGCTGTAGGCAGTACGGGTCACACTCCACTGAGAACTGCTCCCATCGGCAGCAATGACAATCTCGCCACAGCTGGCCCCACTGCACGTGGGACGCGTGTCGCTCAGGCTGCCCACACTGCGCGAGGTCACGTTCACGATTTCCGTCGCGCTTGAACCCCAGTAGACATTGTAGAAGTTCACCTCTTGCTCGGCCACTGCACGCTTGATCAGCAGGACTCCTTCTATGAAGTTGGGCGCTGGATTCATATCCGTGAAGTTCAGCGCTTGGGCCGTGCCGTTCGGACGGATCAAGTCCTGGAGTGCCACGGCGATCCAAGACGTGGAGTCGTAGCCAGTCAGAGACTGGGCAAAGGCGAGCAGGTGTGTAGCACCAATCGGAACCATGGTGTCTGAGGGAATCGTTCCTGTCAGGTCTGATCCGGTCTTGCTAAGAGTGAGCAAGGGCGGCCGCTGCAGCGGCCCGTGCCGGGCGACTGTCCAGAGGCTCACGTCCATGTAACCTGTGTCAGGCCCACTCACCGCCACAGTCACACCAGATGAACCACGGCACTGGTAGTACTCGAGCTCCACGTCATGTGTGCCAGCAGGCATGTACATATCACCACTCGCAGTGGTCGCACCAGTGGTGCCGGTCGTAGACAGCGCCTGCGCTCCGTTGATCAGTATGCGTGCACCATCATCCGACACCAGCGTCATGGTGTAGTGACCACCAGCAAGAGTCACTCGACCCTGCCACCTCGCAGCAAAAAACTCGCTTCTGTTCAGACCAGGCCATGCTGACAGGGCGCCGCCCGGGCGCGAGAAGGAGTACATGTTCGCGGCCTCGTCTTGCACCAGGATGGGGGCGCCCAAGGAGGCAAAGTCCACGTTGCAGGTCATGCAGGGGCAGCTGGGCATGGCGTAGAACTGGGCCTGCAGCCCTGGCTCCCCTCCTTCCAGCTTCATGGAGGAGCTCTGCCCCCAATAGATGGCGTAGCCGGAGATCTGCGACTCGTCGGCGGCCGCGCCGACCATGACAGTGCCCTCCACGAAGCCTGCCAGGGGGTTCATGTCTTCGAAGGAGAGGTTCGTGGCGACGGTGTCCACCGTGCTGTAGTCCGTGAGCACCACCCCGGCACCGGAGGACATGGTCACATTCTCGTAGGCGCTGACGACCACGAGGTGCGTCATGCCAGAAGGCGCCGCCGATGCTGGGAGCTGCAGCGTGCCGTAGGCTCCCAGGATCGATGTCTTCTGGCACAGTGTGGAGAGGCCTCCATAAGACACGTTTTGAACAAAGCCCATGCCAATGTCGACGCCGTAGTACTCACAGCCAGACTGTGAGTCCGTGTACACGTACATGGCGAAGCCAGAACACGATGGCATGGTCAGGCAGTGCTGCTGGCAGCCCTGCTGAAAGGCGACAACCTCTGGCGAGTCAAGCGCGTACGCATTTGCCACGAAAGTCCAGGTGGAGGTCAGAGGCATAGCACCGGTGAAATATCCCACGAATGGCGTGCACGTGAAGGAAGGATCCACATAGACACTGGCCAGTGGGCCCAGATGTAGTGCAGGGATTGTTTCACCTGACAGGCAGATTCCGCAAACGACATTCTCGCTCCAGGAACAAACTGAGACCAACAAGATGACTGGATAAAAACAGGCCCAGGGCGCTTTGACCCCAGTAGAGCAAGTACTGGGTGATCGTGTCTTCGTCTTGTCCGCGCGTGAAAGTCACGGGCCCGGCATATTGGCCAACAGCAGGGTCTGAGTCAACAAAGCTGACCTGAGAAAGGCGAGGAGTCATATAATAACACAAATACAGTATGATCCACTACATAATACTGTAGATTATGTGATATAATATGCATGATATAAACTTACTATTCCCGGGAAGGGATGTGGGAATGGGTCATTCCTGCTTTTCTTGTGACTCAGGCTACTTTTTGTATCTCTATTGCTGTTATTGTGATTTTCCTTTGCTCTGATTGTACGTATTGTTCCTTTGCTCTTATTGTACTTATTATTCGTATCGTTCTTATTCTTCATAATACCCGTATGATTCTTATTTTCTCATTACTCTCATCATTCTTTTGGGTCTTGCGATTCTTACTATTCTTATTATCCTTATGTTTCTCATTATTCTTATTATCCTTTTTGATTGTTAACATGTTTAGCCTTGTTGTGATCCTAGGCTCAGCCTTATTCTCACAATTCTGCGTTTTCTTAACATCGCATTTTTGCTCCATCTACTGTCTTACTACTCCTACTCCTATGTCTATTCTCCTTCTGTGGGGGTTTCCGATAATGTGGGTGCCTTCTTGGGGTCCTTATTTTAAGGGGATCCTGCTATTCGGGGGTCTATTTTAGGGGGCCCCTTCCCCCACGTTTATCTCTTGTCAGCATTGCTGCTATTACTGTTGCCACTGCTGCTATCCCTCGCCTGCATTCCCTGCCAGCGAAAGAGCTTGTATTAAGAGTAGGGCTGATTAGGGTTTAGGGTTTGGGGTTTCTGGTTCCCTGTTGTACCCGAAGAAACTCTCAGTGTTGGGGGTTCACTGGGTTGCTAAGAACCCCCCTCCCACATCCCACAAACTCTTGCAAAGCAAAAAGGCCGACAGCCAACACCCGACCCCATTGCGGTTTAGGGTTTAGGGTTAGGGCTTAGGGTTTAGGGCTACGGTTGAGGGTTTCGGGCTAGGATTTAGGGCTCAGATTTTACGGCCGGGTTTGGGTTTTAGGGCTTTAAGGCTTCCGTCGTCTCGCGCGCCCAGCAGCATTGGAGGCCAAGGCCATGGGTAGCACGAGGTCCACGACCGGGGTGGCCGCAAACCTTAGGGCTTGGGATGTTCCCCCTTATGTTGGGGTTTAGGGTTGTTTAGGGTTTAGGGTTTAGGGTTTAGGGTTTTGGGTTTTGGGTTTAGGGCTTAGGGTTTCGGGTTAGGGTTTTGGAATTAGGGTTTAGGGTCCCCCCTATTTATAATCCCTATTCAGGGCTGTTAGTAGAAGGTGGCCCCACAAACCTTAGAGCTGCTACTTGGTCCAGCGGACCCGGGCTGCCAGGGTGTGGAATAACAATAGGGTTTAGGGTTTAGGGTTTAGGGTTCAGGGTTTAGGGTTTAGGGTTTAGGGTCAGCAGTAAGACCAATAATGACAACAATGAAATTCAATAACAATCATGGTATTGATGGCAAATAAGAACAAAAATGCTAAGGCTGATACTGAGACTAATTATACTTACAACAACAATCATATTCATGATGGCAATAACAAAATGAGCATGAAGGTTGGGTAAGTAAGAACCTTGGCAAAGATCATGCTACTACCAACGGCTGCTAGTAGGGTTGGCTCCCAAGACCAAAGGGTGGAAACGACGTTTAGGCTTTGAGGGCTTAGGGGTTTAGGAGCTTGCAGGTTTGGGGATTGGGTTGAGGGCTTCCGTTTAGGGTTCAGGTCCGGGCTTCGGGTCTCTTCCCGACTCCAGCAACAGCCCCTCTGCTTGCTGCCCAGCTGCTGATAGCTATCCTTAGGTGGCAGTCCGGTACAGATGCCGAATCGCTAACCAGCCTCACCATATCAATTCACCCTATCTAATGTAGCTCCACGATAAACTCCCAAGCATCCATGCTAAGTAGGCCCCGACATTAGGGACCAAAACTCTCCTGCAGGTCAGGCGAAACACCAGCTTCTCTTTGAGCATCAAAAAGGACATGGCTCATCACGGATCCCAAGCCCAATTGATCCTAAAACCCTAAACTACTTCGGGTCAACTTGCGTGTCAAGCCGCTCCAGTGCTCGAGGAGCCAAAAGCCAGGAGGTGGCTTGCATTCTCCGGCAGAGGTGTGCTCGGCAAGTCCACCGCCAAGGGGTCGCCTCTCCCGGTCGAATTGGGCCGCAAAACGCGGGAACACAGAGACACACAGAGACACACAGACACCAACAGGCACACAAGTACAGCACTCTTCTCAAGAATGTGGACTGGTGGGGTCTAGAAATGTCCGGGGCTGAAGCCACTCGCATCCTTAGCTGCTGGTTTAGGGGGGGGGGGGGGGGGGGTGTAGGGGTTTCGGGTTTAGGGTTTCAAATTTAGGGTTGCGGGTTTGGGGTTTCAGCCTTGCTCAGAGACACTGACGAAGGCCACCCAATCCGTCTCGTTCACGCCATAAGAGAGCCTGGGCATCCCTATTTCTGCTTGGAGCTTCATGGGTACCTGTAGCCCCACGTATAACTGTGCTTGTAAGTTGGGATCTTCCCCCCTATACAAACAGCTCCTTGGGATGGCATTCCCCCCTGTTATAATCCCCATTAAGGACTGTTAGTATAAGGGGGAATATCCCAACTTATAAGCCCCCCCAAAGTCCTCTAAGCAGGTTATAAGTGGACGTATAATTTGGGGTTACCAAGTACCCATGAACCTCCCAAGTGTACCCTGAAGCTTCTGGCAAGAAGCCGCAAAGGGCCGAGGAATTCAAGGGTTTAGGGTTTAGGGTTGAGGGTTGCGGGTTCTCTGAGGATTTTCATTGTTTAGGGCTTCGGGTTTAGGGCTTCAAATTTAGGGTTTTGGGTTTAGGGTTTAGGGTTTAGGGCTATCGTAGGGGTCTCTTGGTTTGTTTTGTGGGCTCCAATAAGCTGAGGCACTTGGCTGGGGGCACTTTCATCCACATGTCGTTTGAGTCCGCGCCCCAGTAGTACAGGACCATGGTGCCCTCGGGAGTCGCTGGCGCCTCGGATTTGTGACCCTAAACCCTAAACCCTACCCCCTAAACCCTAAACCCTAAACCCTAAACCCTAAACCCTAAACCCTAAACCCTGCAAACCCTGCAAACCCTGCAGACCCTGCAAACCCTGCAAGCCCTGCAAGCCCTGCAAGCCTTGCAAGCCCAAACCCTAAACCCGAAACCCTAAACCCTAAACCCTAAAACCCTAAACCCTCAAACCCTACACCCCTAAAACCCTAAATTGCGCCCGGGCGCCCACGGGAAGGCGTAGTCGACTTGCAGCGCGTGCTTGCCCTGCCTAGACTCAGGAGTAACCTAGGAATAACCCCAAACCCTAAACCCTAAGCCCTAAACCCTAACCCTAAACCCTAAACCTTAAAGCCTAAACCCTAAACCCTAAACCTAAAAAAAAGGAAACAAGGGCCTACTCCAGGTCCTAGCTGCGCCAAGAAGGTGCTGGCCCCGGAGCTCCAGCTTGCGTTGGTCCCGATGAACTCCTGGACGTTGTGGCTCTTTAGGGGGGTTTGTTGGGGGGTTTAGGGTTTAGGGTTTAGGGTTTGGGGTTTAGGGTTTAGGGTTTAGGGTTTCGGGTTTGGGGTTTGGGGTTTAGGGTTTCGGGTTGAGGGGCTCCGAGCCCCAAACCCAGCGCAAGCAGGAACCAGGTACTGAGCCGCCGGCATCGTCGATCAGCACGTCCCCGTGCAAGTAGACCTACGCGATCGGGACCACCCTAAACCCTAAACCCTGAACCCTAAACCCCAAACCCTAAACCCTAAACCCTAAAACCTGAAACCTTGAATTGTTTCCCCTCACACAAGAGTCCAAGAGTCCTAGATTGGGATTCTCGTACCCCTTACCATAATCCCTACTAAGGACTGTTAGTATATGGGGGGCACATCCCAACTGAAACCCTTAAAAATCCGCAAAGCTCTGGAACCTGCAAACCGGTCCTAAGCCCCGAAACCCCCCCAAACAAACATCCTGCAACCCCAATCCCCCCCCCCAAAAAAAAAAACCTGAGCCTCAACCCCGCCCCCCCCCCCCCCCATCCCCCCCACCCCCCCCCCCACCCCCAACCCGCCATTACTCCCCCTTGCCCCCTCCCCCCTTCTTAATGGGGATTTTAGTACCCCCTGTTACCATCCCTATTAGGGGCTGTTAGTACAAGGGGAAGCATCCCAACCTTGACCTTAGCAGCCCTAGGCATCCCGGCCTTGCACCCATCTGCAAAGGCCTGGAAGTAGTACGTGCCCGGGATCCTTTGCTCTGCACACAAGGCCGCAGAAGCACAAAACAAGAGGTTTTAGGGGGGGTATTGGGGTTTGAGGGCTTAGGAAAAAAGAAGGTTTTAGGGGCGGGGGGCGGGGGGGGGGGGGGGGGGGGGTTGGGGTTTGAGGGCTTAGGGGCTGAATTAGGGGCCCTTTGAATTGACCCTTCAAGGGGGTCTCCCTGTAGACAAGCCTTCCACGGGTTTTTCTAGATCTTCGGGCCGGGCCGGGGGCGACGATTACAAATAAAGAAGCTGCCAAGAATGCCCCTAAAAAGTTCGTCATGGCATATCCCGAACCCCTAAACCATAAATCCTAAACCCCTAACCCTAAACCTGAAACCCTAACCCCTAAACCCTAAACGCTAAACCTGAAACCCTAAACCCTAAACCCCAACACCCCTAAACCCTAAACCCAAAACCCCAGCAACCAAGGATCGCGATGTGCAGGAAGCCCGTCCATCGGATGGCGAAGCCGGTGGCAAAAGCCCCCGGGGCGCCAA